CATAGAGGAGAAAATTAGCATAATCAAAGATAGACAGGCTGAATGGCTCCAGACAGAGGAAGAAAGAGAACTAAGGATTAAAAGGAATGAGGAAAATATCAGAGAAATAGTGGATTCAATGAGGAGAAAGAATTTAAGAATCATCGGAATTCCTGAGACCATGGAAAAGGAAAATGGAGCAGAAAGTGTGCTTAATGAAATTATAGAAGAGAACTTCCCAAATCTAGGGATTGAGGGAGAAATGTGTGTGGAGGGAACTTTCAGATCTCCTAGATTTGTCAATGTAAAAAGACCTACTGCAAAGCATATAGTAGTAAAAATGGCAAAAATGAAAGACAAAGAAAGAATACTCATGGCAGCAAGACAGAAGAAAATAACCTACAAAGGAACTCCTATCAGACTTTCAGCGGATTTCTCTACAGAAACCTTACAAGCTAGGAGAGAATGGAGTGACATATTCAAAACCTTAAAAGATAAAAATCTTCAGCCAAGAATACTCTATCCATCAAAAATATCCATCAGATATGAGGGAGAAATTAAATCTTTTCCAGACCAACAAAAGTTAAGGGAATTTGTAACCAAAAGTCCTCCACTACAAGAAATCCTCAAGAAGACTGTCATACCTGAAAAAAGAAAAAAAGGGAGAAAGGGGTCACAAACCACAGAGCAGGGAGACAGATAGATAGAACCAGAATAGAATAGCAAATATTCAACTATAGCATTAGGATAAAGGTAAGGAAACCACCAAAGCAAACACGATCTTATCAGTCTAACTACAAACTCATAACATGAGTTGGAATAAGAAATGAAAATAATAATTTAGGAGGGGGAGAGCAAAGGGACTAAATCAGTCTAGGCCAAGTAAGTCAGAGACCACCAGAGAATAGGCTATATTATACATGAGATTGTAAATACAAATTTCAGGGTAGACACTAAACTAAAAAACAGAACAGATCCACAAAACATAAATGAGGAAAAATCTAAGAAACCCAGCATAAGAAATTGCAGTAATCAATGGGTAGGCTAAAACACACAGGACGAGAAACAAAGGTAACACAGGAAAACCAGATAATGAGTGACAGATTGACAGCATTAAGTCCACATGCATCAATAATCACCCTCAATGTAAATGGATTGAACTCTCCAATAAAAAGACACAGAGTGGCAAAATGGATTAAAGAACAAGAGCCAACAATTTGTTGCCTCCAGGAAACACACCTCAGCCCCAAGGACAAACACAGCCTCAGAGTGAAGGGGTGGAAGACAATACTTCAAGCTAATAGCAAGCAAAAGAAAGCCAGTGTTGCAATACTTATATCAGACAAAACGGATTTCAAAATAAGGCAGGTAAAGAGAGACACAGAGGGACAATATATAATGATCAAAGGGACACTTCATCAAGAAGAAATAACACTTATAAATATCTATGCACCCAACATAGGAGCACCAAAGTTCATAAAGCAACTATTAACAGACCTAAAGGAAGATGTTAAAAACAACACAATAATAGTAGGGGACCTCAACACCCCACTCACATCAATGGACAGATCATCCAGACAGAAAATCAACAAGGAAATAGTGGAGCTAAACGAAAAACTAAAACAATTGGACTTAATAGACATATATAGAACACTCCACCCTGAAGGAGCTGAATACACGTTCTTCTCAAGTGCGCATGGAACATTCTCAAGGATAGACCATATGTTGGGAAACAAGGCAAGCCTTTACAAATTTAAAAAAATTGAAATAATAACGAGCATCTTCTCCGATCATAATGCTATAAGGCTAGAAATTAATTACAAGAAAAAAGCTGAGAAAGGCACAAGGATGTGGAGACTAAACGATACGCTGCTGAACAAGCAATGGATCATTGAAGAAATTAAAGAAGAAATAAAAAAATACCTGGAGACAAATGAAAATGATAACATGCCATACCAACTCATATGGGATACAGGAAAATTCATCTCAGTACAGACAGATCTTAACAAACAAGAAAAATCCCAAATAAGCAATCTTAAATTACGCCTAACTGAATTAGAGAAAGAACAACAAACAAAGCCCAAAGTCAGCAGGAGGAGAGAAATAATAAAAATCAGAGCAGAAATAAATGCCATTGAAATGAAAAAGGCGGTAGAAAGGATCAGTGAAACAAAGGGCTGGTTCTTTGAGAAGATAAATAAAATTGACAAACACTTAGCCAGGCTTACAAAGAAAAAAAGGGAGAAAGCTCAAAAAAACAAAATCAGAAATGAAAGAGGAGAAATAACAACAGACTCTGCAGAAATATGACAGATTATAAGAGAATACTATGAAAAATTATATGCCAACAAAATGGATAACCTAGAGGAAATGGATAAATTCTTGGACTCCTACAATCTCCCAAAGCTCTCTCAAGAAGAAGCAGACAATTTCAACAGACCAATCACAAGGAAAGAGATTGAAACAGCAATCAAAAGCATCCCAAAGAATAAAACCCCAGGACCAGATGGCTTTCCTGGGGAATTCTACCAAACTTTCAGAGAGGATTTAATACCTATCCTTTTCAAGCTATTCCAAAAATTTAGGGAGGATGGAACACTTCCTAACACATTCTACGAGGCCAACATCATGCTGACACCAAAGCCTGACAAGGACACCATGAAAAAAGAGAACCACAGGCCAATATCACTGATGAACATAGATGCAAAAATTCTAAACAAAATTTTGGCAACCAGAATTCAGCAATTCATCAAAAGGATCATACATCATGATCAAGTGGGATTCATACCAGGGACACAGGAATGGTTCAACATCTGCAAATCAATCAACGTGATACACCACATCAACAAACTGAGGAATAAAACCACATGATCATCTCAATAGATGCAGAGAAAGCATTTGACAAGACCCAACAGCCAATTATGATAAAAACTCTGAACAAAATGGGCATAGAAGGGAACTACCTCAACATAATAAAGGCCATATATGACAAACCCACAGCCAACATCATACTCAATGGGCAAAAACTGAGCACCATCCCCCTGAAAACAGGAACGAGACAAGGATGCCCTCTATGACCACTCTTATTTAACATAGTACTGGAGGTCCTGGCCAGAGCAATCAGGCAAGAAAAAGGAATAAAAGAAATCCAAATAGGGAGGGAAGAAGTGAAACTCTCTCTGTTTGCAGACAACATGATCTTATAGATAGAAAACCCCAAAGAATCCATTGGAAAACTGTTAGAAGTAATCAACAACTACAGTAAAGTTGCAGGGTATAAAATCAATTTGCATAAATCAGTAGCATTTGTATATTCTAATAATAAGCTAACAGAAAAAGAACTCAAGAACACAACACCACTCACAATCACAACAAAAGGAATAAAATAGTTCGGGTTAAATTTAACTAAGGAAGTGAAGGGCCTATACAATGAAAATTACAAGGCCTTTCTGAGAGAATTGGATGACGACATAAGGAGATGGAAAAACATTCCGTGTACATGGATTGGAAGAATAAACATGGTTAAAATGTCCGTTCTACCTAAAGCAATCTACAGATTCAACGCCATCCCAATCAGAATCCCAATGACATTCTTTGCAGAATTAGAACAAAGAATCCTAAAATTCATTTCGGGCAACAAAAGACCCCGAATTGCTAAAGCAATCCTGAGAAAAAAGAACAAAACAGGAGGCATCACAATCCGTGACTTCAAAACATACTACAAAGCTACAGTAATCGAAATAGCATGGTACTGGTACAAAAACAGGTTCACAGACCAATGGAATGGAATTGAAAGCATAATTGATCACAGATCAATGAAAACAGAATTGAACAGAAATAAAACCACACATCTGTGGACAGCTTAGCTTCGACAAAGGAGCTGAGGGCATACAATGGAGAAAAGAAAGTCTTTTCAACAAGTGGTGCTGGGAAAACTGGAAAGCCATATGTAAAAGAATGAAAATTGACCATTCTTTCTCACCATTCACCAAAATAAACTCAAAATGGATCAAAGACCTAAAGGTGAGACCTGAAACCATAAGGCTTCTAGAAGAAAACGTAGGCAGTACACTCTTTGACATCAGTATTAAAAGGATCTTTTCGGACACCATGTCTGCTCAGAGAAGGGAAACAATAGAAAGAATAAACAAATGGGACTTCATCAGACTAAAGAGCTTCTTCAAGGCAAGTGAAAACAGGATTGAAACAAAAAAACAACCCACTAACTGGGAAAAAAATATTTGCAAGTCATATATCTGACAAAGGCTTAATATCCATAATGTATAAAGAACTCTCACAACTCAACAACGAAAAATCAAACAACCCTATCAAAAAATGGGCTGGAGACATGAACAGACATTTCTCCAAAGAAGATATACGGACGGCCAATAGGCTATCATCAGGGAAATGCAAATCAAAACTACACTAAGATATCACCTTACACTCATTAGAATGACAAAAATATCTAAAACTAATAGTAACAAATGTTGGAGAGGTTGTGGAGAAAAAGGAACCCTCATACACTGCTGGTGGGAATGCAAACTGGTGCAGCCACTATGGAAAACAGTATGGAGATTCCTCAAAAAATTAAAAATAGAACTACCATAAGACCCAGCTGTCCCACTACTGGGTATCTATCCAAAGAGCTTGAAGTCAGCAATCCCAAAAGTCCTATGCACCCCAATGTTTATTGCAGCATTATTTACAATAGCCAAGACATGGAAGCAACCTAAGTGCCCATCAACAGATGCATGGATAAAGAAGATGTGGTACATATATACAATGGAATACTACTCAGCTGTAAAACAGAACAAAATCATTCCATTTGCAATAACATGGATGGACCTTGAGGGAATTACGTTAAGTGAAATAAGCCAGTTACAGAAGGACAATCTATGTATGACCCCACTAGTATGAGGAATTTAAAAATGTAGACAGAGAGAACAGATTAGTGGCTACCAGGGGAAAGGTGGGGTGAGGGGTGGGCGCAAAGGGTGAAGGGGTGCACCTACAACACGACTGGCAGACAATAATGTACAACTGAAATTTCACAAGGTTGTAGACTAGCAACTCAATAAAAAAAAAGAAAAAAAAAGTTAAGGGAGAGGTAAGAGTCTGCTGGATCTCGATTGCCTTCTGCTCAAAAGAATTCACATGCCAAAGTGGCATATTTTGGGGTGAAGTATTCGGCTCCCCTTCAGCCCAACATGGGTTGCATTCCTGCTGAACTACCTGGACACGTGACTTCACTTCTCTGAGCTTCCCTTTCCTCCTCTGGAGGATGATGAGGGAGACACTCAGCAGGCAGGGCTGTGTTATGTGTAAAGTCCTTAGCACAGTGCACGGCTCAGAGCGAGGGCTGCAACATTCTTGTTGGCAGTTGATAGCATTGTGATGGATGAAGCCTCACATGATGCATCAGGTACCTGGCAGGGCCTGCCTCCAGTTGTCAGTGACGTTTTGCCTGGAGCATTTCTAGATCTGCCTGTCTCCTTGAGGGAGGGAAAGTGCAGGGTCCTGGGCCAGAGAGAAGACAGCCAGCATTCTTCTGGGTGGAAACTTTCCCTGTGCCTGCACGAGACCTCCCGGTTGGAATCTCTCTGGACCACGCTGGCCACCAGCCAGTATGTGGATCACAAAGGGGCTGTGCGTGTGAGTGGTTCTTCAGGAGAGTCAGGAAGAGGAGGAGTTGGGGAGATGTGAATTGTGGGCTTCAAATGCAGGCTGTTATACCGACGGCAGCCTTTCTGGGACCTGTGGTCTAGAAGACAGGAGAAAGGATGAGTGTTCCAGGAGATCCAGCCCAGCCAGACTCTGAAAGCTGCAGAGGGTGAGTGGCTCATTTGTCTAGCTTTCATACCAGGGACCAGGGAAAGGCAGGGGTTCTTTGCCTTTGGGGGATCTACAAAGAGTGACTATGTCTGCCTGGGGTGGAAGTCAGGGGAGAACTGAGCTCAGCTCTTGCCCAGTTAATAGCAAGCTGTGCCATCTTGGGCAAGTCACCAGCCCTCTCTGGGCCGGTTTTCCCATCTGTAAAATAAGGGATTGGCCAAGTCGGTCTAATAGCAACGCCTGACATTTGTAGAGGGCTTTGCATTTGTCCTTTGCCAATAGCGTTTCATTTGGCCCCAAGGCAGCCTTTTGTTGGAGGGATGCTTATCACATTTTACAGATGAGGAAAAGCCAGTCCAGTGAGGCCAGTTATTCAGTTGGTACAAAACAAGGCTGGACCTAAAATCCTGGTCTCCTGGGGACAATTCTGGCCTCTGCTGAGCACATTGTTCCCCTCAAGCTCTGAAATTTGAAGATCTCCCGCTCTTTGTCAACGACATTGGTGCTGCCTCCCCCCGTGCCCTCACCCCTAATTCCCACAGGCCTGAGAAGTGGGAGGTGAGCACAAGACACCTGTCCCCACCTTCCCGGGGTTGGCAGTTGCATGCAGCCCGTCTTCCAGAGATCTCTCTGCTGTGTGGAATGCCTTCCTGTGGGTCCTGAGAGGTCCTGTGGGTCCTGAGGGGTGAAGTACGTGGGGGCTGTTGAACCCTCAGGACAGTGTTTCTCCAGGTGTGAGCCTCGACCACCCAGGTGGGTCACAAACAGCCAGGGTGTCGGTTAGAGGTGCAGATTCCTGAGCCCCAGCCCAAAGTGGGCGAGTCAGTCTGCATTTTAGCAAGCTGCCCTTGCTTCCTACATGCCTCACAGTCTGGAACCACTATTCTTGAGGAGGCTGCGCTGTTGGGCCGTGGAGGGCTGTGTTGAAACTGCTGAAGGGTGGCTGGAAGTCAGAGGGAGTGGGAAGGGTCCCAGGGGAGGGTCAAGCCAGGCTTGGCTGCTGCAGAGGTAGTGAGCTGCCCATCAATGAAGGTTTAAGATGACTTTTTGGGGGATGGTGGAGGGACGGGCCTGGAGCAATGGTTCTCTGGGGCTGGTGTGGAATCACCTAGGAAGCTCCGGACTCATCCCTGGCTGATGTTGAGACCCACTGGGGATGAGAAGTCTGGTACTGGAGGCTCCCTCCCACCTTTACAAGCTGTGGCCTGTTTCTGTAGCGGCACAGCAGGGATAATAATAATGGTAATAACACTACCTACCCCTTTGGGCTGCCCCAAGATCAAGGGCCGGTGGACTAGGGGACAATATACGGAAGAAGAAAATGCCTGGCACGCTAGGAGGCCTGATGCTCTGCCGTGGAGGTACAGAGGGGCACTGTCCTAGTGGGGCCCAGACTTGGAAATTGCCACGGCCCCTGTCATTTCCAGGTGCAGCCTTCTGAATTCCCCAGCTCTGCTCTCCCCGAGAATAAGGTGGGCCCTGGGGGCTTTGGGCTGGCCTCTGACTGGGGCTGCCTGGAGTGCTCCCCTCCACCAGAAGCTCCCGGGGTTCACCAGGAGAGGAAGGGGGGCAAGGGCCTAGTTGAGGTTCTGCACAGAGAACTGGAGGAGGCTGGGGCCTGGGGTTTAGGCTTGGCTCTGCCCAAGCCACTTTGGGGTCCCTGGGAGGACATCTCTCTGTGTTCTCTCTGGGAAATGGAACCCCAAACCAGACTTGCTGACTTTGAACGTGAAGTGAGCTAATAATAACGAAAAAGAGGAGAAAGATGTACTGAGCCCCCGCCTTACTGTGTGCTAGACAGATGTTCTGTGCACTGGCACAACAAGATGAGGAAATGGAAGCATAAGTACACACACATACAAGAAAGCGTATCTAATCTATATGTTACATATACACACCCACTCAAAGGCATAGCTAATGTATACATTACATATCTACACACATACATTAAAGTATATATAATGTATGTATACACACATATATGTACATTAAACATATATGTAATATACATATGTATATACACATATGCATATATTGATACACATATGTACATACTACACACATATAGCAGAAAACGCATATCTATGAAGAGGTTAAACAGAGAGAAACAGAGAAGTCAGATTATTTGCACAGGGTCACACAGCAAGCAAGAGTCACTTTAGAAAAAAATAGGAGCACCGTTTGAGAGTTTCTTTTCATTCAAGTTAAACCAGTGACTCTGGGTGTACTTGTTAAAAATTCACACTTTCAGGGGCCAGCCCGGTGGCGCAGTGGTTAAGCTCGTGTGCTCCACTTCGGCGGCCTGGGGTTCGCCAGTTTGGATCCCAGGTGCAGACCTGTACACCGCTTATCAAGCCATGCTGTGGCAAGCATCCCACATATAAAGTAGAGGAAGATGGGCGTGGATGTTAGCTCAGGGCCGATCTTCCTCAAAAAACAAAAACAAAAAAACAACCCCACACTTCCAGGCCCCAGACCTCAGAGCCTCCGATTCTAAACATCTGCCCCCACAACCCTGAAATGATTCAATTGTGGGTCGTCCATGGAATGCATGTACAGAGCACTCAGGCATTTCCCATGTGCTCGAGCATCCCAGGAAAGCTCCAGCTCCCCCTGTTATCCATGCTGGAGTGCTGGAGAAGGAGGAGAAGCAGCAAGCAGGGGCAGAGAGGGCCAAGAAGGGAGTGAAGACCCCTGGACCCCAGGGTCAGACTCACAGCTGGGCAGGGCGGCTGGAGGGCCAGGCCTGGGCCCGTGAACCACCAGGGCAATTTTTATATCTACATAAATATAGATGGATATCTACATAAATATAGATGGATATAGATCATTGATTTTGGTCTGTTTACCTTGAATCCAGAAATTGATCATCACTATCGGCTAATATTTAGAGATTGGAGTTAATGCCATAAACCAAGGAAAGTAAATAAGCATTACAAATGAACAAGAGAGAGAAAACCATTAATTTGTAAACATCTATGTCATGTTTAGGTAATTTCCTTCAATTTTCTTATAGTTTTAATTAGAAATGAATGTTGAACTGTAGCAGATGCTTCTTTCAACGTTTTTTGACATAATGAAACTATTTTTCCTTTAATTTTTTGATATCATGACTTATATTGATAGATTTCTTAATAGTGAATCATCCTTATGTTACTGGAATGGTTCTTCCTGATAAAGATGGATTAATAGTTTTAACGCAAACTTCTGGATTGAACTTGGTTATGTTTTAGTTGGAGTTTTGCAGCTCTATGAATTAAATTTGTCTAGCATTTTCTTTTTTTGTATGCTATCTTCATTGGGAGTGGGTAATGTTAGCTTTGCAAAATAAATTGCTAATCTTACCATCATTTTCTACAATTTGAGACATTGGACTTATCATTCCTTGAAAATTAGATAGAACTCACTAAAAAAACAATCTAGGCCTGACATTTTAAATGGTTGACATTTAACTGCCTTTCTAATTTCTTAAATGAGTGTTGGTCTGTTCAGGTTGTCCCTTCTTCCTGAAATTCGTTTCTCTAAGTTAACAAACATTTGCACATGATACTGTTATATTTCTCTAACCCCTCCCTTTTCTGGAATTCTATTGCCTTTCCCAATACTAATGTTGTTTTTTATTTTCACTTTTTTATTTACTCATACTTTTCCACTTAGTTTATTCAAAGAACTAACATGCTTTTTCACTATATTCAGTCATAATTGAAGTACAATAAATAGCATATTTAAAATGAACAATTTCATGAGTTTCAACATATGTATACATCTGTAAACCCATTGCCATAATCAAAATAAATTTATCCTTTTGACCTTTTTTGGTTTTCTAGTTCCTCAATTTCAGATTTTATATTTAATAGTCTATCCTTCTTTTGTGTATGTGTTTATTTTATTCTTTTTCTAAAGTTAGCTCATTTATTTTTAGTCTTTATAAATATGGTGGATTCTCAGTATTCATGGTAGTTATGTCTTATAAAGTCACTGCAGTGGCTGGCCCAGTGGCACAGCGTTTAAGTTCGCACATTTTGATTTGACGGCCCAGGGTTCGTTGGTTCGGATCGCGGGTGCAGACATGGCACTGCTTGTCAAGCCATGCTGTGGCAGGCATCCCACATATAAAGTGGAGGAAGATGGGCACGGATGTTAGCTCAGGGCCAGGCTTCCTCAGCAAAAAGAGGAGGACTGGCAGCAGATGTTAGTTCAGGGCTAATCTTCCTCAAAAAAAAAAAAAAGTCACTGCAAACATCGAGTTAGTGAATTCTGAACCACTGCTCCTAGGGAAAATACAGGGTTTGGTTCCTACCAACCCCTGGGCACAAATTTTTCATCAAATGATCAATACACAATTTTGTTTTATGTATGTATCTGTTTAAAAGACCCCTTTAAAAATCTAACATTAATTCGTTATATTGTTGATTCATTAACATAGAACTCACCACCAGTAGCACTATAATTCATGTCTGAACAAAGCTGATCTAACACATGCATTTTCTCCGTAAGGCACAACACTAGACAGCACTTCAGCACTACTCTTGGGAGGCATTTTAAAGACCAAAATCACCAATGAAAAGCACAAAAATGAGAAACACACAGCACTAAATAGCTCACGAAAAGGACAGTTGTTCACAGCATGAAAGCGGAAGCAAGGTTCAGCCTCAGCTGCGGAGGTGTGCATCAAGCGACTCAAATTTCTTGCTGCTTTCCTCGCGTCCACGATGACCACGAAAATGCTGCCATCATTGATTTTAGGGTTACAAGTAAATTTTAGCTACTAGGTGAACTCACAGATACAGAATCTCCAAATAATGTGGATTGACTGTAGCAAAATCATTTAAGGTTATATTAAACTCATGGGATATAGACAAAGCCATTCTCTCAGAGGATAATTTATAGTAACGGGATGCAAAAAATCCTCACTCACTGCCTCCATTTTGATTTGCTGGGTCCTGACGCCGCAGAAAGTGGTGTACTCATTTCACCACCAACGTCTGTTCAGATCGCTGTAGACCCAGCTCCTCTGTGAGGGTTTTAGATGGCTGATACGCTTGGGACATCGCAAAACACTCGCTGGACCTGGAGCGCCCAGACCCAAGGTCTGAGTCCTGGTGTGGCTGGTACTAGAGGGGTTCCAACAGAGGGTGGAGGCTGCGGGGCACAATGGAAAAAATACTGGGCTTGGATTTGAGCTTTGTCTCTCTCTCAATGTCTAACCTGCTGAATAAATTTCTCTAAATTACTCAACTTCTCTGAGCCTATTTCCTTCCTGTAAAGTGTCATAGCCCAGCAGACTATCAGAGGAACAAATGAAGTAGTGGGTAGGAAGTATCTGGAAAACAGTAAAGAGTTGTGTAAATGTGAGGGGGGCAAGTCTTCATCATCACATTACCAGCACTCCCACAGCGTGCCTTTCCCTGACCTTATGCCCACAGTCTGAGGTCCATCTCACTAAGGCCCTGTCATTCCAGAACCTAACGAGACAGAAGCCTGGGCCAGCAGATGCTAGATGGGAGGAAGAGGCAGGGACTTAGAGACGTAAAGAAGGAGCTGTGGGGAGGCTCCCCTCCATGGCCGAAACTGATTCAACCCCACGGGCAGTCTGAGGCCCTAGTTAGAGGAAGGCAGAGGGCCTGGGACCACCGTGAGGTCTCATGAGCCCTTGGCCACCTCAAACCCATAAACCCGTCTCCTTTGTCTCCCAGCACCACGAGTAGCAAGGAGGATGCCAAGTGGCTTCAGTGGGTGACCCACCAGTTTGAGACCATTGCAGGAGAAGACGGGGAGATCGATCTGCAGGACTTCAAAAAAGCCCTGAATGTGAAAGAGGCAAGTGTCCACTCCAGAATAGGGACCCTGCATTTATATTTTACAGAGGAAGAGCAACTGGTTCTCAGGACACAGTATCTCACAAGGAGGGAAAGCTTGCTCCCCAGGGTTCCTACAGACTTGAGGCCCCACTTCTAAGGTTGAAAGATGTTCATGTCTCTGACTGGGGCCCTTCCATCCCTCTTGATAGCCATGGCCTCCTGGGGGTCTTCAAAAGAACATGTGAAATTGAAAGTCAGTACCCTGTCAAATCTTAGGAAACACTATCGACCTCGCAATTTCTACTAGCCTCATGGCAGAGTTGATGCTGAGACTTAAATTTCCTCTCACGATATGAGCCTTCCCATGGCCGGTCCCCATTAAAGCCCCGTTTGCACAGCCACACCCTTGCCAGTCCTCTCTCAGTTTCATGGGTCCTCTGCCCATCCCCATAATAGCCTGAATGCCTGACAAACAGTGGGGACATCAGCAGAGAGATGGGAGGAGTGAGCCTGCAAGTGCCAACCTCTCCCCAACTGTCCTCTGGGCTGGCATCTGGTGGTGGCCTGTGTCCTTGATAAGGGTGAGCCAACAACTGTTTGAATGCCCCTGTTTGGATCAGAGGGACCCCCATTTGCTGGACCATGGATACTGCTAAGAACTCTAAACGCTTCTCCTCCTTTCACAGTAAATATGGGGAAGGAAAAAAAGACCTTCTGCCCGGCAATACATTATCATCGTAACAGGAGGCTGTAAAGTATCTTAAGACAAAGGCCATCCAGGATGGTAGAGAGTGATAAAGGTGTTACTCAAGGAATCCAGGGGGAGAGTAAAGCCAAGGCGGGGTTGACTGCCCACAGTGGACTTCTTGCTGGTGAACTCATGGGTCTACAGGTCAGACACTAGAGCCCAGCAGGCTCCTCTCCCTGCCTCGAGGGGGCACGGCATATCTGGGACTCTGACCCAGCCTGTCTTAATTTCTGTGTTCCCAGTGCCTAACACCAGCCCGGGAAGCAGCAGCTATGGAGGACATGATTGTTGACATGACATGACATGCGCGCGCACACACACACGCACACACACAGTTAAAGGGTTCAAAGCCCAGGCCCTGGGGGCACACTTGTGCCGGTCTTCGCCCCTCTCCATCCACAGTCCTTCTTTGCCGAGCGATTCTTCACCCTGTTTGACTCTGATGGAAGCGGCACCATCACCCTCCAGGAGCTTCGCGAGGCGCTGACCCTGCTCATCCATGGCAACCCCATGGACAAACTCAAATTCCTCTTCCAGGTGTACGACGTCGATGGTAAGGGCTCTTTGGGCGGGGGCGGGGCCGGGGAGGAAGTGGGGACGGGTGGGGACGGGTGGGGACTCATCAGTGGGAGGGGACAAAAGGAATCGGCCCATCTCCCTGACGTGTGTTTTCTCCCAGCGTGGCTGTTCTCTCCGGGTGGGGCTGACAGTTGTCTCCGTGAGTGTGTGTGTGTGTGCGCGCGCTCGCGCGCGTGCACATGCTCACGCCCCCCCCCCCCCCCCCCCCCCCCCCCCCCCCCCCCCCCCCCCCCCCCCCCCCCCCACACACACACCAGTGTCTCTGTCTGGTCCCTGCCTCCCTTTTGTAGGGAGTGTTGGAGAGGGAGATCTCTGGTCCAGGAGACAAATGCCATTCATTCAAGTGACAAGAAGCCAGAACTTTCCTTTGTTCATTTTTGTTTGAAAAAAGAAATCGCTTTGTTGCTTTTTCTTTAAAATAATAATAGCATAAGCCCACTGTGAACATTTTAGACAATAGAGAATGGTTTAAAGAAGAAAACAAAAATCACTTGTCCCATTTTTCTATACTGTCTTCTAACAGATCACACACTCATGACCGCACATATTTCTTTGAAATGTTTGTTTTAAACAAAAACGATTATACTGTACATACTGCCTTTTTTCATGAAACAACATAAAAATTTGTTCATGTAAGACTATATTGCTTTATAATATCATTTTTATTGTAGTAAAAGATACATAACATTAAATTTACCACTTTAACCATTTTTTAAGCGTATAGTTCAGCAGCATTAAGTACATTCACGTTGTCGTGCACCCGTCAGCACCATCCACCTCCAGAAGCTTCTCATATTTCCAAACTGAAACTCGGCACCAATTACCCAATAACTCCCATTGCTGCCTCCCCCAGGCCCCGGCAACCGCCTCTCTACTTTCTGTCTCTAAGAATTTGACTGCTCTAGTTACTTCATTTAGGTGGAATCATAGAATATTTGTCTTTTATGATTGGCTTATTTCTCTTAGCATAATATCCTCAAGTTTCATCCATTTTGTGCCACATGCCAGTCTTTTTTAAGACTGAATGATATTGCATTGCATGTACAGACCACCTTTTGTTTAACCATTCATCTTTCCATGCACACTCGTATTGCTTCCCCCTCTCGGCTGTTGTGAATCATGCCGCTATGAACACGGGTGTACAAACATCTCTTCGAGACTCTGCTTTCAGTTCTTTTGAGCACACACCCAGAAGTGGAATTGCTGTACCAAATGGTCATTCTATTTTTAGATTTCTGAGGAACTGCCATATCCTTTCCCAGAGAAGTTGTGCCATTTTTCATTCCTGCCAGCAATGCACAAGCGTTGCAATTTCACCACGTCCTTGCCAACACTTGTTGTTTTCTGTTGTTTTTTTTTATAATCACCATCTAATGGGTGTGGAGTGGTAACTCAATGTAGTTATAGCATCATTTGCAGTGGCTGCATCATATTGCACTGTATGTATGTGGTCCCATGTTCCATGCAGCACAGCCCAGTAGTGAAGATCTCTGACTCTGAGGCTAGGTCACCTAAGTTCAGATCTCAGCTCCAGGGCTTATTAATTATGTGACCTTGGGCAAGTTATTTGACTTCTCTGTGCCTCAGTTTCTTCACTTATCACATGAGAATATGATCATATCATAATAATAGTACATACTCATGAGGTTGATATGAGGATTAAATTAGTTAACTTATGTAAACTCAGAATAGTGCCTAGCACAGGATACTGCCTTTATAGGTGTCAGCTGTTATTACTATTTACTCAAACCCCATTACCAAAATGGAGAATTCCATTGTACCTCACCCCCCCCCCCTTTTTTGGTATTATAAATGACACTGCAGTGAACATCCTGGTTTTTATATCTCTGGTGACTTTGTGGCTTAAAGGATCTCTGAAGGCCTGGAATCATCAGAGGAAGGAAGGCTGAAGTAGGAAAGAGGTACCCACTGAGACTGGGATGGTGGGTGAGGCTAGATTGTCCAGGCCCCCAAGGCCATGGTTTGGAGTCTCGATACAATGAGCATTGGGGAGCCATTGAAGAGTGTTGAGTGGGGAGTCACAGACTGGATTTGCATCCTGAAAAGCTCAGTCTAGCTGCAGACCTGCTCCTGGGCAAGGTCTTCTGGCCTGTGGGGTTTCTCTAGCTCTCATTCCCACCTGACTCAATCTAGTCAGACCTCATCCTGGGGACCCACTCCCCAAGTTGATACCCACCCCCCCAACTACATGGGCAGTTAACCATGCTGCTTACTGAACATCTTTCTCAGATCACACCCTAGTCTCCAGGGGCCCCTCATCACTGACTGCTTTCTGACCACCAAGCTTTGCTCACACCTGGGGTTTATCAATAACCTCAGTCAGAGCGGTTGGCCTGTGGCAGGAGGAAGCAGCATACTCAGCTCCTCCTCGTGGACAGAGGTGGGAGGAGGACAGGGCAGGGCAGGTGAAAGGAGGCTTGCAGTTTTATGGCAGGGACTAGAGAGCATTCCCTTCCAGGGGCCTCAGTTTTCTCTGAGAGCCAGTCAGAGGTCGACGGCCATGGAGGTAAGAAGTGGTCCTTGCAGACTGTGGGACAGTGACCTTACTAGAGAAGTGTGAGAGGACCACTGGGCAAGTTGAAGGCCTTCCTGTGCCTGGTGAGCAGAACTTCCTGCTCTCTTGGGTGCTTTTCTTCAGCACTGTTCGCATAGCTGTCCTGGAGCAGGAGCGGAGGAAACCGATAGTTGGATTCACCAAGGGATGGGATATTTTTAGGGTCAGTGGAATAGAAGGACAGAGGGACAAGGGAGAAGAATGTGTGCATGAGAATACTTGTGAGGAGGACCCTGGATTTGAAATTGGCCAAGGAGAGAATAAAGATGTATGGAACAGGGCGTGAAGCGGGCGGAGGAGGGACTGGCGCTCTGGACGTGGTCAGAAACCTGTTGCATGGTGGCTCTTGGTTAGGAAAGCCAAAGGACAGGAGTTGCAGCTGGAGAGTGGGGTGTTACACCCTGCACTGTGAGGTGATTACAGACTTTGGCTTTGGCCCAAATGATGATTGCATCACCAACAAGACTTTCCATTCATGTGCAACTGCCTGCTTCCAGATACTGCGTTAACTGCTTTATAATTAATTGCTATCCTTGAATCAGTTCCCAAAGGGAGGAATTATTACCCCCATTTTAGAGATGAGCAAAGTAAGGTTCATTACTCTAAAGGACTTAGAGCCCACCATCACACAGTTAGTAAGGAGCAGAAGCGTGTTGCCACCTCGGGTGTGTCTGTATCTAAAGCAGACCAAGAAACCACTAACAGGTCCTGCTGCTCACAAAAAATGAAAATATACCTAGAAAAAGTGTCCCAAGTCTCTTCTTGGTTGGTAGTTTTGGCTTCCTTCTCACATCACTTTTAGCCACTCATGTTCACATAAGGCCACATGGCTGGGCTTGAGTGCCCAGCTGTGGCCTCTCAGGACAAGATGGCTAAGCAGAGTCTGCTACAAGTTGGGGAACAGAAGGGAACTCCCCCTCACCACCACCTCATATACAATTTGCCTCTGGCTAATTTAGGCTCTGGGCACATAGCTCCTTATAGGTTAAGCAAACAAGTGTGTCTTCTGGGCAGATGGTTTTGGAAGTTGAGTGGTACTTAGAGAGGAGGCCGCACATTCTGGATAAAGGCATGCACTAAGACCAGAGATTCTCCATGCTTGGGGAGGTATTTATCTCTGTTGAGGTCGGCAGCAGGAAGCCATGGATGTTTGTGAGCTGAGGTGACAGATGTCCTTTGATTGCCTGGTCTATACCCCTAAAGGGAGTTGGTTGGCAGAAAGCTAGAGGTGGGTGAACAGGAAAAGTCCACCACTCGATGCAATGGCTGTGCAGGGCAGGGGGAGTCTGCAGGTACAGAGTGAGGTCCAGGGGCAGGCCCCCACTGGACTTCATCCCCACTTGGGACAGGCAATGGTTCCATCGACCCAGATGAGCTGCGCACGGTGCTGCAGTCGTGCCTGCGCGAGAGCGCCATCTCGCTGCCCGATGAGAAGCTGGACCAGCTGACGCTGGCGCTCTTCGAGTCAGCCGACAAGGACTGCAGCGGCGCCATCACCTTCGAAGAGCTCCGAGAGGAGCTGCAGCGCTTTCCCGGGGTCATGGAGAACCTGACCATCAGGTACTGCCCTGTCTCCGGCATAGGAACTGCCCGCGTTGGGGTTAGACTCCAGGTGCGAAGAAGGGCCTGAATGCACTAAGGATCCTTGAACACCACCCAGTCTCGCCCCAGTCCCACACCAGCCCGGGCCCAGCCCCACCCAAGATCAGCTCCGTTCCAGCCCTGCCCCAGATCAGCCCCGCCCCAGATCAGCCCCGCCCCAGATCAGCCCCCCCCCGATCAGCCCTGCCCCAGATCAGCCCCGCCCCAGATCAGCCCCGCCCAGATCAGCCCTGCTCCGGATCAGCCCCGCCCCAGATCAGCCCCGCCCCAGATCAGCCCTGCTCCAGATCAGCCCTGCCCCAGATCAGCCCTGCTCCAGATCAGCCCTGCCCCGGATCAGCCGAGCCCCAGATCAGCCCCGCCCAGATCAGCCCTGCTCCGGATCAGCCCTGCCCCAGATCAGCCAAGCCCTAGGTCAGCCCAGCCCCAGATCAGCCCTGCCCCAGATCAGCCCAGCCCAGATCAGCCCTGCTCCACATCAGCCCTGCTCCAGATAAGCCCCGCCCCAGATCAGCCCCACCCAGATCAGCCGCGCCCAGACCAGCCCCAACCCAGCTTAGTCCAGCCCTGCCTGCTTTCTCCAGATGGCAAAAGTCTGTCCTTGTGCAAGGCAGCTATTGTCATGCCTGCGTTTTCAACAGTGTCACTTTAGAATCAACTCACAGTATTAAGCACCTACTATGTGCTCTAAAATGCATTGAGTACCTTCAGGGAATGCATTTTATAGAGATGTAGTTTTATGGCAGGAACTAGAGGGCATTTTATAAAATCCATTTTAGAGCAGTGGTATATTTGTAAAAGGAAATTAAAGTTACAAAAGGAAATTGAAGTCACTTCACGCAAAGTAGCATGCCAGGATCACACAAATAATCAGCGGACAGTAGTTTATTCAACTTGGTCAGCAGCTACTATGCACGTGCATTGTTTTAAATAAAGGCAGTGCCCTGGAGGGGCTGCATTCCAGACGGAGAGACAAATACATACACGAGAGAAGTCCAAGTTTGATAAGGGTGGTGGAGAAAATGATATAAATAGGGTGTAGCAACAGACCCAAATTGGTCTGACTCCAAGCTCTGAATAGTGCCAGTTTTGCAGTTCATTCTTTTTGTGTATTAACTTTCTTGTGGGTTATTTACCACAACATGTCTCAGATTCTTCCATCCTTTTCAGTTGCCCTTTTTCTTTTTTCAACTGGGACATAAAGAGAGGTAATAAAAATAGCCGTGGATGTGGCATCAGACAGACAGGAGTTCCATCCCAGTTTCACCTAGCTGTGTGACTGTAAGCAAGTCACTTGACTCCTCTGTTTCCTAGTGTCAAAGGAAGCCGGCCTGCTTGCCACGAAGTTCCAGAGAGCTGGTGGGCTACAGCGGGAGTGGGGTCTCCAGGTTCAGACTCCAGCGGTCCAGCCGCACCCCGCATGGATTCCTCCCCTCCCCAGTGCGCCCCACCGCGTCCTTCTGAATGGAGCCCCTCTCTCGCAGCGCTGCCCACTGGCTGACAGCCCCGGCCGCCCGGCCGCGCCCGCGCCGTCCTCGCCCGCTGACCTCCGCCTACTGGCACAACCACCGCAGCCAGCTGCTCTGCCTGGCCGCCTACGTGGGCCTCCACGTGCTGCTCTTCGCGCTGGCGGCCAACGCGCACCGGGCTCTCGGCGCCAGCGTCATGGTGGCCAAGGGCTGCGGCCAGTGCCTCAACTTCGACTGCAGCTTCATCGCGGTAGGGCGCCGCAGGCACGACGCAGGGAAGCGGGCAGGGGGACCTTTGTAGGCTCCTCCTAGAGAAAACCACCCACACGCGGACATCTGGAGGGCGGGAGCAGGACGGCACCTTAGAAATCAGCTGGGCCAACACTTAGTGGTGGACACTAGGGCCCAGAGAGGGGTAGTGACTTGTCCATAGTGACACAGCACTTAAATAACATAGCTGACATTTTTGTGCACTTACTGCGTACCAGTTCTGGTGCTAAGCACTTTCCATTTGATATTCACAGCAACCCTATGGTGGACCCCAAGGAGCGCGGCTGGCTCCTGTGCAGGGCTCCAACCAGAGAAAGAATGCTTCAAGAGGCCTTGAATGCTAGACTGAGTCAGGATGTGATCCTCTGGACCAGAGACTGAGGTCTCCAAGTATATTTGATCACACACTCTTACAATTAAAACAAAAGAAAAACAGAAAACAAAAAACCCTCCCAATAACCCAATAGATGCTCACTGACATAATCATGTTCATGCGCTATCATCACTAGGCGATAGACTTAGGGCACAGCGTAACTACAAGGCGAGGTCATCCTTAACAAGCAGGGATGTACATCTCCAGTTCGAATACGCTCCTGGAAAATGTCAGCTTCTTGTTAGGGTGGGTTTTGTTTTTAACCTCATAACGAGACGAAGAGCTCATCCCCTGAGTGGGAGACACGTGCCCCACCTCGGTTACTTGCTCGTGCATTGTTAACACTATTTTCAATCAACGCTTGCTCTGCCAGGAATCTTTTTAAGCTACTTGTCCTTTCTGTGAGGGGCAGCTAGCTCAGTGAAGTTAAAACCAGATAGTGTGATCTGTAGTCCACACGTCTGCGCACACAAATACACTAAAAGCAGATGAACAAATGAGGGAGTCCTCATCATAAGCCTTTTGGGAAGCCCTGTCTTCCCCGAGGAGGCCTCGAAAACTGCATGGAACACGTGCCTGTCTGACTTACAGACTAAATGCGGGCACCATGTCAACACGGATATTAAACATTAGTGAAAGCTTATGTGTTTCTCACGTGTTTAGATGTGAGTAATACCAGCAGACATTCTGGAACATTTTCTCTTCCCACCCCAGTTCTGGGGACCCTACTTTGGAGACCCCAGCTGTGGACCCAGGGGAGCAGTGAAGGCTTGGGGGCAGGGGAGATGGTGATGGGGCCCATTCAGGAAACACAGCCAGCTTGGGTGGAGGGGGGTTGCTGGAGGACAACTGCCGGAGAAAGGAGGACAGGGCAGAGGGAGAACCAGGTGGGGCTCTCTGCTGCTTTGCCCGGCCAGGTGCTGATGCTCAGGCGCTGCCTTACGTGGCTACGGGCCACGTGGCTGGCTCAGGTCCTGCCGCTGGACCAGAACATCCAGTTCCACCAGCTAATGGGCTACGTGGTGGTTGGGCTCTCCCTTGTGCACACTGTGGCCCACGTTGTGAACTTTGGTGAGTAGCCTAGGACTAGGGGTGGTGGGACCTGGGCCTTTCACAAACCACTGAGCTTTCCAGCCCCTGAGTGTCCTCCCTGCCCAATGGATGGAGAAGGGGTGCCCTGGATAAGCTGGCACTCTGGACAAAAGTCCCTGCCTGCGCGGGTGTCTGATGGGGACAGGTGGGCACCCCAAAGAGAAGGTGGAGTGGGAATAGCTCGTCTTGTGCTTGTCTCCAGCGCTCCAGGCTCAGTCTGACACCAGCCCCTTCCAGTTCTGGGAACTGCTGCTCACCACGAGGCCTGGCATTGGCTGGGTCCACGGCTTGGCTTCCCCGACCGGTGTGGCTCTCCTGCTGCTGCTGCTCCTCATGTTCGCCTGCTCCAGCCCCTGCGTCCGCAGGAGTGGCTACTTCGAGGTGCCAGCCCTTGGCCTTTTGATTCTCCCAGGCTAGGCTCCCTCTTTCGTTTCTTGCTGTGTCCCCTCTAACTTACTCCAGAGCCCAGGAAGGTCCCAGGCTGCTCTGCATATTATGTGCATGTGATTGCTCTCTGCCATTGGGCTGTAGTTACTGTCTGCCAAGTGAAAATGTCTTTTTGTTTTTGTTCTCTTTTTGAGGAAGATTAGCCCTGAGCTAACATCTGCCACCAGTCCTCCTCTTTTTGCTGAGGAAGATTGGTCCTGAGCTAACATTCGTGGCTATCTTCCTCTACTTTATATGTGGGACGCCTACCACAGCATGGCGTGCCAAGCGGTACCATGTCCGCACTTGGGATCTGAACCGGCGAACCCCGGGCCACCAAGAAGCGGAATGTGCACACTTAACCGCTGCGCCACCGGGCCGGCCCTGAAAATGTTTTGCTGTGGAAGATTCTGCCTTTTTGCTGGCTTATCCCCTTGCCCTAGTTGGATTAAACTGGGCTCAAGATGGCACAGGGAGGGGAAGGAACACAGGCTCACCAGGGTTCAGATCCCCACCTCACTACTTACAGGTCCCTCAGCTTCCTTGTCTGTAAAATGGAGCTATAATATTTTAGGAATTAAATGAGCTAATATATGTGAAGCCACTGTCTACACACCTGGCACATGTGTGCTCTGGAAGTGTTAGTTCCATCTTTGCTTCCTTGTCTCCGGCCTCCTCAAGATGCAGGAGGTCACAGAGGATTTGGTTTGGAGACCTGGACTGTCCCCCAGACTGATCTGGTCGCATCAGAAACAGATATGTACGGAGCACCTCCTCTGGGCCAGCAGTAACCCTTGAAGTAGGAATCAGCATCCTCGTTTGACCAGGGAGGAATCTGACACTAAAAAAAGTACTTTGCTAGCCCGAGGTCCCGCTAGTGAGACACAGCTGGTAGCAGAGCAGGTTTTAAAACTCAGTGTTCTGCTCTTTCTTCTTCACTCCCGAGAAACCATTGCTGTCTTTCCTTTCTTCCCCCTGAGAAAGGGTCAATGTGATGGGTTGCCCATGAGCCCTTTGGGGGTGCTCCACTCTGCTCAGACATCCCCAGGCACGTGTTTCAGATGTTTGCCGCTGGCACCAGAAGTCTTCCCTTACAGGCTCCTGGGGCCAAACCCCCAGAACAAAGAAGCAGTGAAGCTTCCCGCCCCCAGCCCCCTCCCCTGCCCCGTCCCCAGGAGAGGGTGTGTATGGCCAAGGCCCTGGGCACCATCCTGGCTTTGAGGATGGCCCTGCACCGTGGCTCTGTCCCACCCCCAGGCCTTGAGCTCTGGCAGCTTACGATTCCCACCCCACAGGTGTTCTACTGGACCCACCTGTCCTACCTTGCCATGTGGCTCCTGCTCATCCTGCACGGGCCCAACTTCTGGAAGTGGCTGCTGGTCCCTGGCATCTTGTTCTTCCTGGAGAAGGCCTTCGGGCTGACAGTATCCCGCATGGCGGCCCTGAGCATCGTGGAAGTCAACCTCCTCCCTTCCAAGGTGCGAAGGGGGCCTGAGGGGCCAAGGGACGTCAGAGGTGGTGGAGTGCAGCAGCTGGGTACCCTGTCAGAGTCCCAAGGAAATAGGGAGCCCTGGCACAGAGAAGGAGACAAGCAAAGTGCAAGGGTCAGTCCAGCCTCCCGGAGTGATACCTTAGGAAGGGGATGACGGGAAGGCAGGATACTACTGAAGGCGAGGTCTGCGGAGAACATTTTTAGTAAGCGTACATTAAGTGCCTACAAGGTGCCAGGGCCTGTGCTAGGTGACAGGGACATAGAGAAGCCTCAGGCACTGTCCTGCTCTCCACAGGTCCACAGGCTAGTGGTGGGGGGTGAGGTCCTGCCCTTTCATTACAGTGCAGGGCTGTGTTGGTGAGAGAAGTACAGTCTTGGGAGGTATTAAACTCTTTGTCTTTGAGAGGTCGGAGAAGGCTTCAGAATGAGGGAGGAGTGCCATATCAGGGTTTTGAGAGATGAGTAGGAGTTTGTTGGATAGACAAGACAGGGAAGGGTATTGCTGGGAGAAGGAACAGCATGGGCAAAGGCACAGAGTTGTAAAGGGTATCCTGTACTTGGGGGACTACAGGTAATTTGGCACAGCTGGGGCCAGGTTGCCGGGGAGGAGCTAGAGGTGTGGGCAGGGCTTGAGGGTACACGGAGTCTCGCGGTTTGAGCCACAGGACCCCCTGGGTAGGTGGGGGAGGGTGTGGGTGAGGCTGGCTCATACTCGGGCTGGATTTCTTGGGTTGCATTGTGGCCAGTGGCCTGGAGAGGCCCCCTGGGGAGGCTTTTGCACATATGCAGATGAGAGCTCCTGAGGGCCTTCCCCCTGAACTGGGGCCGTGGCTGTGGGGTGGGGAGGGGCATGTCACAGGAAGACTCAAGCGGTGACTGGCTGCATTTTGGGGTAGAGAGAGGAAGGAGTCGAGGCTGACTCCCAGGAGTCTGAGTGACTGGGGCGTTTATGGAGAAGGAGAAGGCAGTTCTTGGGGGCCTTGGCTCTGCACAACTGGAGTCTGAAGACGTGGAAGCTAAGTAATGAGGCTCTGGCGACAGACAGCCGTGACTGGATTCAGCTCCCACGGTTTCCCAGCTGGTGGCCTCGAGCAAGCTATTTAACCTCCCGGAGCCTCAGCGTCTCCCTGTAAAGCGGAGAAGGTGTGACATCATCCCAGACAGTTGCTGTGAGGACTAGAGATGACGCTTAAAGTGCTCCACACAGCTCTGGCACGGCAGGCGCTCAATCAACTGAAGCTATTGTCAAGCTGCTGTTATCCTGGGGGAGATGCCCGTTAGTGGTTGGAATGCCAGCCAAGGGCTACAGAAGTGCCAAGAAGGGGGCTAGAGCAGTCAGGGGGGGCTTCACAGAGGAGGTGCTTCACTGGAAAGCAGCGTTTACACCAGAAGAAGTGGAATCAAACCATGATCCCCACTTGAGACGCAGCCTGACTCACCCCTTCTCTGATCGCCACCCACCCTGGTTGGCAGATGTGCTGCGGGGTGAGCCCCCACTCACAGGCACAGAGGCTCTTGTGTCTGGGCCCAGCCTGGTTTATGGTGGAGGATGGCCCAGCCTCTGCCCTCTGGCCCTGGGGATCCCTGTGGCTTTGGCCCGGCACAAATGACCCTGGTCTCTCTCTTCTCTCCCCAGGTCACTCATCTCCTCATCAAGAGGCCCCCTCTTTTCCACTACAGGCCTGGCGACTACTTGTATCTGAACATCCCCACCATCGCGCGCTACGAGTGGCACCCCTTCACCATCAGCAGTGCTCCCGAGCAGAAAGGTGCGTGAATGCCAACCCTCCAGTGGCTCAGCAGGCGTTTACTCAGTCCTGCCGTGTGCCGAGCACAGGCTGGGAACCGGGAACAGAGGTGAACAGACCAGAGATGCAAAGTTGACCTCCGCAAGCTCCCTCTGAAACAAGGAGGCAGACACAGCGGAGTGGTCAGGGCTGTCCCAGCTGCCGTGCCTGGCAGGATGGGACAAGTGGGCAAGGCTTCGCAAACAGGGTGGCATTTCAGCTGAACTTTGAAGGGTTGGTAGGAGTTTACTAGATAAAGAAGGAGATGGGGGAGGAGGCAGAGGGCGAAGCATAAGGAAAAGTGTGAAAACCTGGAAACCCAGGTTAGTTAGATGAAGGGAGGAGGGAGGAAGGAAGGGAGGGAGGGAAGGAGACAGAGGGACAGGAGAGAGGGTCAGAGAAGGGATGAAAGGGACACGTGTGGCTGGCAAAGCCGACTAGAGCCAGGGTGGGTCCCAGGAGGACTTCGAAGGCAGAGTTGGAAGCCGGTTCGCGCAGGCAGCAGGGAGCCGCAGAGGTCTTAAGCGGAGGAGTAGCAGCCTCAGAGGAGGGTGTCCCAGGGCGTTTTCAAGGCGGCCATGACAGGAAGCCAGGCTTCCCCACTCCATGTGGGCACGAGCCCTGTGGAGGCGCAAGGCAGCAGAGTCCCTCACCTCCTCCCCCTTCCCTGGACCACTCCTGTTCCTCGGTGGGCCCCAGCGACCATGGAGCTGCTCCATTGACCCTTCCTTGGCCCAGCTGTCCTCTGACCCCCACACATGCACGTGCCTTCCTTCTGGTTCTGGGCTGTTGTTGGAGCCACAACCTGGACCTCTGCCCTCCTGGCCAGAGATTGGCCTTCCCTCCTCACATGGAGCTTCTGACAGGGAGGGCCTTGCATGAGCTGTTGGAGCAAGACTGTTGCTCAGCCCCAGGGTTGCTCAGGGGTCAAAGGTCCTGGTTTTCAGGGCTTCTGCCTTATCCCCATTGGGGGCATTAGCTCCACTTAGGATCCTCCCAGCCCCAGCCCAGCAGGACCCCTGGCCAAGCCCCACAGCTCAGGGCGCACACCCCAGGCCGGGGTTCCCCACGTGAGACTGCACACCCCCTGCCCCAGAGACCCCTGAGTGGTGGCCTGGATGTACAACGGGGCCAAGTGGGGGGTGGGGGTTGGAGAGGGCAGGTTATTTTCTTCTTGTTTTTCGTTCCTTTTCTGTTTTGTAAAGAAAATATATACTCTCAGAAAATTCAGACAATATAGAAATATGTACTGAAGAAAATGAAAATCCCTCAGAGAATTCCATCCAAAGAAAACCACTGTCAATCTTTTGAGTAACAGCCTTCCAGACCTCTCTCTCTCTATCTGCTTGGGTAATCAGATGTAGAGAGAATTTTGCTACATAGAATCCCACTGCAGTTCTTTGCAGCTTGCTTTTCTTCGTTGAACAGTATGTCATGGAAATCTTTGCACATCAGTTCTTTTAAAAAAAGAACTCTTCTTTTTCTTGACTGTGTAGTATTCCAATGTAGAGATACTAATATGATTATAGTGACTGTTAATTCTATGGTTGGGTCATTTATTTGACCAGTTCTTGAAGGAGTTTCTTCAGGTCTCAGCTCGGAATCTGCTGTCTCGTGGGCCCCAAGTCTCCTGTCGTAGCTGAGTGAGTCTGCGGGGGCTGCTGAATAGTCCCACTTTGTTTACAGAGCTGGTTTGCAGAAACCAGGAGCGGGACTCAGATTGGCAGCTGTGGTTGATTGCACTCAACTGACACTCAGGGAGCCCTCCTGCATCTGAGTCACTGTGTGAGACACTTCGGGGTGTGCGTGTGTAGACAAGGCATGGCCAACCCTCCGGCACCTGCACCTGAAGGAGAGGAAGCCTCAGGGGTGCCTGGAGCAGGGATCCGGGACCTGAGCTCCAGTCCCAACTCTCCAATTCCCTCCCCACAGAGCTGTGCGAGCAGCCAGACCTCCTTGGGCCTCTGTAAATACAGGGGTGAACCAGTGCATTCGTGAACTTGGATGGGGAAAAGAAGTGACATCTTTATTTTCACTAACCTCTAACTGAAATTTAGCATTTTCTTCAATTATGAATGCAGGCAGTAAACCTCAGTCACATTAACAATACCTGTGGCTTTTTTGAAATAAAAACCATAGATTGTTTTATTTCACATGGTAGTTGTTGCTGATACCTCAGGATGTCATTTGTGCTCATCACTAGTCGGGGTTCCAGTGGCCAGGCAACTCCTGCTGGATCTCGTTATTTCATGTGTTTTTTAATATTTCGATAACTATCTCATTATAATTGGTCTCACTCGTAATTTCTATGTATGTTACATTATGTATTTAAAAACCTAGTTCTGAGAAGGGGTCTATCCATTGCCTTCACAGGACTGCCAAGAGTCCATGGTTTAGAATAAAAGAAAAGAATCAGAATGCTGGACCAGGCGATCTCTTAGGGGCCTCCTTGCTCCAGTGTTATGGGTTGTCTCTAGTGCGCTCAGCACAGGGGTAGCCACCCCACACCACCTTTCCCCCAGCCACCCACTCAGCAGAGAATAGTAAAGCACCCACTACATCCCAGGCGCTGGGCGCAGTGAAGGCCGTTGGTCCCACCACTGAGCACCTGCTGTGTGCAGAGCAGTTGACAGGCACCTGGTTGAACGTGGGAGGGAGCTGGTCCCCACCTTGGTGAGACTCTGGCCAGATGGAGGAGGCAGGGCCCCCATCCCTAGCGAGCTCCCAGGGCACTCGGGACTGCTCTGACCCCTGCCTTGCCAGAGGGCACTGAACCCTTACTGTGTGGGCTTAGGTTGACTTCACTGAGAAAGATTGCAAGGTCTGCGCCAGAGACGTCAGATCTGAGTCCTGTGGCGGTGGCTGCTAGTTTTGGCCTGAGGAAGGACATTCCACCCAGGACTTGAGCAGCGGGCACCCAGCCCCAATCCCTCCAGTGAGACAGGCCTGCTCCCTCTGGAGGCCAGCACTGACCCCTTCCCTCCTGCCCTGTCTCTGCTCAGACACCATCTGGCTACACATCCGGTCCCAAGGCCAGTGGACAAACAGGCTGTATGAGTTCTTCAAGGCATCAGACCCGGCAAACTGTGGTCCCAAGAGGCTGTCGAGGAGTTTGACGATGAGAAGGAGTCAGAGGATGCCCCAGGTAGGTGGCCGTAGGGAAGGAAGTGTCCACCGCGGAGGCAAACCCGCAGGCACCAAGTTGCCTTCCTGGTCTGTGGGCATCAATTATCGAGCAGCTGTCATGTACACCTGTTGCACAGCAGCACGGAGAGCAGGGCAACTGCGGACTGGAAGGTCCAAGATCCTCCTCCAAGTCTGACCACCCTAGGTCCTCCCCAGTCCAATGTCCTTCATTAGAAGGCGGGGTCGGGGGATGGAAAGAGGGGAAATTGAGATCAGAAAAACCCGCCTCCACGTCTCTGCTCCAACACCTTCTAATGATATGGCTTTGGGTACATTCTTTAACCACTCTGAGCCTCGGTTTGTTTATCTATGAAATGGAGGGGGTTCCCATCCTCGGCTCCCTTTCTCATATGATTCTTTTAAGGACCAATGGAATGAAAGCTTGTAAAGTATTGAGTGAGCTCAAAGCATGGTCCAGGTGCACCATTCATTATCACCATCACCGCCAGCATCAGCATCACCGTCAGCAGCATTGTTATCTTTTGAGCCCTGATGAAACCCACAAAACTGATTAAGTTGCTGGGACCTGGAGTGAATACAGGCTCTGGGAGGTTTTGGAGGAATACAGAAAGATCAGAGTACCACCTGATGAAGTACGAGTTGATGGAGGAGGCTGAGGGTGCCTGAACACTTAGTAGGCTGTACCACAGGTTAATATGTGGAAACCCTCCTGAAGGTCAGAGGAAGAGGAGCCCCTGGCCTGTCCCAGGCCTGCCCCAGCTTTCCTTGCCCTGTGGAATTTGAAGTCCAGGGGAGAAAGCTAGGTGGACTCCTGCCAGGCCAGACCAGAGGAACTTTCTAGAATGGTGCCAAGAGCAGAGCTTTGGAAAATGGAGGGGTAGGCAGAAACAAGCAGAGGGTTCTCTCCTATTAATCAGGGGAAACTTTCTGAAGGAGGAGCTGACTTTCAAAACCAGATGAGTCATGGCACACTGTGAGTCGGTGGGTAGATACATTGAAAGCTGTGTTTCTTTGGGACCTTAGGCACAGCTGCCAAAGAATACATGGGCACGATCTTTCTGGTGGGCAGTCTGGCCATATGTGTCATATGTTTTACATATGCATCCCCACTGGCCCAGCAATTCCATTTTTAGGGACTTACCCTAAAAAGCTAATTGGACAGCTGCCCAGGAAGTATGATAATCACCTGGTTCATTCATTCATTTAACAAATATTTATTGAGCACAGCACCTACTGTTTTCCAAGTATCGTTCTGGATGCTGGAGATGTGTCAATAAACAGAATAGACATAGTCACTGCCTACCTTCTGGAAGGGGAGATAGACAATAAACAAATAAAATGCGTACTGTGTCAAGTGGTAATCAATGCTATGGAGAAAAAAACAAATCAGGGTAAAGAGATAGTGAGGGGAAAGGCACTACTTTATATATGGTGGTTGTTAACAATAATGAGAAATGAGGATAATCAAAATGCCCAACAATATGGAAGTAATTAGATCATGACTGACCACTCTTATAATGGAACAGTAAGTCGCCTAAAAAAGATGATGTAAGTGTATATGCACGCGCATGGGAAGCTAGTATGTAGCTGTAGTAAGTGGAAAAGCCAGGTTAAGGAGTGATATGTTCCATTTGTGTGAAAGAATGTGTGTGTGTGTGCACGCGCACGCGCACAAGTCTGGAAGGACACAGAGAAAATGTCTAGAGGAGTTATGTTGTCTGATTCAGGGTACTTTTTCACTGTATTCTTTAAAGTTCTGTAAAAGCTGAATCTTTAAAAACTAACATGTATGATTTTGTGATTTAAATAATACAGCAGTTTTTGTTTGAAACCAAACAGGGTTTGCAGCCCCAGCCCATCCAGTCTGGGGCCTTGGCACAGGGAGCCATGGCCTCCCACAAGGATGTCACTGTGGAGCTGATGTCCTACCTGCCCAAGGGAACTCCCAGGCAGGGGCACCAAGGCCTGGGGTGCATGGGGACAGAGGACAGGACTCAGGCACAGCAGGAAGCCGCGGCCGAGCCCGGGGGCCTGGTAAGGCTGCGGAGGTTGGGGCTGGAGGCTGGAGAGCCGGTGGTTTGTCTCCCCATGGATGGCGGGTCCTTGGGGCTTGGCAGGGAGGCCCTTTGTGTCGGGCTGCATTCAGGAAGCCCCACACATTAAGGGCGTTTCTGCGCCAGTCATCTGCATCCTGCCTGCATAACTTCTGCAGTATTCACTTCCAAACTGTACTTGAAGCTTAAATGTATTTTAAAAGGACTCTTTAGGTTGCTATCTTTAATGTAAAACAGAACCTTATGCCATAAACAGAAGATAGCACTAAAAGTGGAAACAATGAAAACCAGCGTTATTAAATTCTTGCCAGATGTTTCCGCCTGCTGGGGCTCTGAGCCTGAGCTGTACTCCCTGCTCTCTCTCTCTCTCTCTGCCATGCTCTCGCTCTTTCTCTTTCTCTGTCATGCTTTCTCAATCTCTTTCTGTCTCACTTTGTTAAAAGGGAGAAAAAAAGGAGGAATTGTTAACTGTTAGAGAGATGTTAAAGATATATTAACTGTGATGTAAGGCTTTCTCCTTGCAATCCGAAAGATTAAATAAAGTCAGAAGGGGAGTGGCTCTCTCACAGGGTACCTCCTAGAATCACCGTAAGGAGTCCCAGCCCACGTCGTGGGGACACAGCATTCAGTGGCCCCCAGACATGAAGCAATGTGGTATCATGTGACGAGCACTGGATGGGCAGCAGGAGACCCAGGCTCCACCCCGAGCTCTGCGGAAACTTGGGCGAGTTTCCACACTCAGACTCGCCTCCTCTTCTGTGAAATGGGGGATTGGCCCAGATGACTGTGACGGTCACTCCTAACTCTGTCTTCTGGCCCCAGGGAGGGAACTGTCACAGGGCCCTGACCTGTTGGAGCTGAGGGGGGTCTGCTTCCTTCACCTCCCACAATTTGACCTCAACAAATCTGGTCTGACTGTCTGCCGTGTGCTCAGGCCTGCGGGAGTTGGGCAGAGCAGACAGGTGAGGCCTGCTCCCTGTCTTCAGGCAGCTCCCCATCAGCAAGTCCAGAGCAGGGTTCCAAGGACAGGGTGGAGCCAGGAGCCAGGCCAGCCGCTGGCTTTTTTGCCTGGTGCAGCTAGGCAAAGCTTTGAGGAAGAGCAGCCACTTCAGATGAGCTGGACAGCAAAGGATACACAGGAGTTTGCCAGCTGGGGAAGAGGAAAGGTGCTCTAGGCAGAGGGAAAATGATGCCCGGGCCAGGGGATGTCTAGAGACATGATAGTTATTGAGCGTGGCTGGAGATGGAGCTGAACATGCAGCTGGTGGTACATGTTCTCCAGTCACACCCTGAAGCTGATTTGTGGCCACAAGAGCCGATTGTTAAATTCTCAGGAATTTTGAGAGTCAGTGATTATACACAGTCATTGATGGGTGCCATGATGGCAGGATTTGCACCACAGAAATCGACGGACACTAACAATCAGGATTTTGTTGTTGCTTCTTTTTCCGAAGAGTCTGTTTACCAGCACACCACTGTGTTCTCTGTCAGAAGGGCTCCATGCTCCCTGGAATGATTTGGGCATAAAAGGCAATTCCCCTGTTGTGAATTTGCTTGGGCTGGCAAGGGCTAGGAAGTCTCTGAGAAGTTACTGCCATGTCCACTCCCAGAGACCCGCAGCTCTCTGCTCTACTCCCTGCAGGTCTCTGAAATGTCCTCTGAGAACCACCAATTCTGTAACATCAAGGTAAGAGGCTCCAGGAGGTGGATGTGACCAGGAAGCCCTGCCCCAACAGAGGAAATGAAGCCTCTGCCTGTGGGGGGGCTTGCTGTGGCTCTCGGTAGGTACCCAGGTTCCTCAAGTCCCCACGGCCTGACTTCCAGGTATCCAGAACCAAACCGCTCCCCTCGCAGGCGCACACAAGGCCTGCTGGTTGGGCCCTGCCCTCACCAGCTCTGCATTCTAACATCTAGGGCTCTCCCAGACTGGTGCTCATAAAAGAGCACTGGAGTGGGAGCCACTTAGACTGGGTTCCAGCCCAGGAGATGACTTGCTGCTATAAAAGGTGTCCTGAAGCCTCGGGGTCCAGCTCTCCTCGTCCCCCACTCAGCCCTCTCTTTCCTCTAACCTGCTCCTGTGCACAGTGCTACATCGATGGCCCCTACGGAACCTCCACCCGCAGGATCTTTGCCTCGGAGCATGCCGTGCTCATCGGGGCGGGCATCGGCATCACGCCCTTCGCTTCCATCCTGCAGAGCATCATGCACAGGTGGGTAGACAGGCTGCGGCTGCTGCCTGCATCCTGGGCAGAGTCCTGAGAGATGCCTTCCCCTTTCTCCCTCCCTTCTCTCCTTTCACCTCTCCCTCTCCCCTTTTCTCTCTCCTCCTCCTCCTCCCTCTCTTTTTTAGGTCTCATCCCTCCCCTTTCAAGGCAGGCCCTGCCACCCCACCTCCCTCCCTGTCCCCTGCCATGTCCTCTGGGGTCCCAAGAAGTCTCACACTGGCCCCAACTTCAAAACCCCTCCTCCCACTTCCCCTCAGGCATCAGAAGAGAAGGCACATTTGCCCCCGCTGCCAGCACTCCTGGATGGACGGTGTCCAGGACGAGGACATGAAGCTCCACAAGGTGAGCACGGCTCCTGCAGGCAGGCCTGGGACCCAACCCGCCACACACACTTCCGGGAACAGGCAGGGCCTCCTGTGCAGAGGCAGAGGAGGGGCAGATGACCTCTCCCGGGCTTGGATCCGCTGGTCCCTACCTGCCCCCAATGCCCTGTTTTCTCCTGGTGCCACCTAAGTGTCCAGGGCTCCCCCATCTCCTCTGAGAGACATTCTCACCCTAAAGGTGGGTGTCGCACTAGAGACCTGGGAGCCTGAAAGTCAGGCAGTGGCGGATTCAGTTACAGCCATGATGCTTGCTAGCCATGACCTGGCGGTGGTTTTAAAAATGAAAACATATTTGCCTTTTGAAAATTCATTATTCTGTATAAGCCTCTTAAAAGAGTTTCTAAAAAAAATAAGTAATGTTTTTCTGCCTGTCCTAAGCATATTTCAGAACACTGCTTGCTGTGAACAATGATTGTTAGAGAAAATCCTGGCCCACAGTCAGGAACCTGGGTTCTGGTCCCATGGGTTCCGCTCTGTGACCTAGGCAAGGCTCCTCACCTCTGACTCCTCAGTTAAGTGGGGATGGTAATAATGTGTGCCCTGCTGACACCAGCTGGTCATAGGGGCGCTGGGAATGGCAGATGTGAGCCTGCTGTGATGAGGGAAGCCCTGCCTCTGAACCGAAGGGCCCCTCTCGCTAGGTGGACTTCATCTGGATCAACCGAGACCAGCGGTCTTTCGAGTGGTTTGTGAGCCTGCTGACCAACCTGGAGATGGAGCAGGCTGCGGAGACTCAAGAGGGTAGGAGAGAGACGGGCCTGGAGAGGGCGGGAGCTGGGCAGGGGCTTCAGGTTCTGGGTCTTTTAAAGAAGTGTTTAGGTTATTCCATTTCTATCAAAAATGGCGGAGGCAGGGGTGTTGGTTTTTTCCCCACTAAAATGGGACATTTTGTAAAACAAAAAATAGAGGAGAAAAAAATCATTCACAATCTTGTTCAGTTATCCAGACTATTCTAGGCATTTTAAAGGATTTCCTTCCTTCTGGTATTTTTTCTTATTCACATTTTGTAAAAATGTATATCTTCTTTTTTCTGATTTCTCTTTTTTATGACATTTCTTTTCATTCGGAATGAGCATTTATTAAAAATTTAGATTCCCACATCTCATCCCAAACTTTCCAAATCAGATTCCCCGGGGTGGGGCCAGGAACATGCATTTTAATATGCTTCTCAGGTGATTCTTATTCATACTTTTTTTTTCAGTTTTTTTGAGAGATATTTAAACAATAAAATTCACCGACTTAAGTGTACAATAAATGCAGTGACATTTTGACAAATGTTTATGGTTGTGTAACCATCAGCACAATCATAACACGGAGCATTTCTGTCCCCCCCAAAGTTCCCTGGTGCCCCTCTGCATTGACACCGTCCCCCCACTTGTAGCCCCCAGCAACCACTGGTCTGCTTTCTATCACTGTAGTTTTGCCTTTTCTAGAATTTCATGTAAATGGGATCATATGATATGTTGTCTTTTCTGTCTAACTTCTTTGACCTAACATAACCTCTTTGAGATTTAGCCCAGCTGTTGCACGTATCAATAAATAGCTAATTCCTTTTTATTGCTGGGTGGTGTTCTGTTTATGGATATACCACAATCTGTTTTTCCATTCACTCGTTGATGGATATTAGAGTTATTTCCACTTTTTGGCTATTTTGAATAAAGCTGCTATGAACATGTGCATACAAATCTTTGTGTGGACGTATGTTTCTGTCTCTTAGGTGAATAATTAGGAATGGGGTTGCTGGTAGTATGGTATGTGTTAGGTTTCATTTCATAGGAAACAGCCAAACTGTTTTTCCAAAGTAACCATATGATTTTGTATTTTCATCAGCAATGTATAAGCGTTCCAGTTGCTCCCAAACCTGGCCAACATTTGATGTTGGTAATCTTTTTACTTTTCGCCATTCTAGAGGATGTATAGTCAGATCTCAGTGTGCTCTGAATTTGCATTTCCCCAAGGATGAATGATGTTGAGCGTATTTCCATGTTCTGTTTTGCTGTTGTACCATCTTCTTTGTAAAATGTCAGTTCAAATATTTTCCCCACTCTTTAAATGCAGATATTTGTCTTCTTTTTTCACTAAGTTATAGGACTTCTTTATATATTCTGGAAACAGGTCCACTATCAAGTGTATATTTTCCAACGTCATCCTTCCAGTCTGTGGTTTATCTTTTCATTTTCTAAAAAACTATCTTTTGAAGGAAAAAATTTTGAAATTTTAATGATGTCCTTTTTATCAGATTTTTTCTTTTATTCTTCATCCTTTCTGTGTCCTATCTAAAATCTTTACCTTACCCAAAGTCATGAGTTATTTTCTTCTATGTTTTCTAGAAGTTTTGTAGTTTTAACTTTTCATTTTGATCAGTCTCGTGAGTTCAACAGGGTCCAGAATGTAAGGTCAATATGCAAAAATCAATTGTATTTCTATTTACTAACAACAAATAATTAGTAATTGGAAATTTTAAAATAAAATTTTAAAAACATGAAATATTTAGAGATAAATTTCGCAAAATATGGGAAAGATCTGTACACTGAAAACTACAAAGCATTTCTGAGAAATGGTTTTCTTTATGTTTCTTGTATTAGAGTTCATTGAACTTCTTGGATATATGGCCTTATAGTTTTCATCAAATTTGGATAAATCTCAGCCATTCTTTCCTTATATATTTTTTCTGTCTCTCCTTCCCCTTCCTGTCACTTCAATTACATAGATGTTAGACTGTTTGATATCTCGCAGGTCACTGAGACTCCATTCTTTTTTTCTCCCTCTCTCTCAATCTGTGCCTCATTTTGGATAGTTTCTATTGCCGTTTTCAAGTTCACTGATCTTTTCTTCTGCAATACCTTATCTATGATTCCTATCCTAATCAAAATCCCAGCAGATTTTTAAAAATAGATATTGAGAAGCTGATTGTAAAATTTGTATGGAAAACCAAGGGGCCTAGGATAGCTGTTAATCTTATCCATTGTATTTTTCATTTCTGTGATTCTCTTTTTCCTTTCTAGAAGTTTCATTTGGGTCTCTTTTATGTCTTGCGTTTCTCTCCTTTCCATATCTGCTTTGCTTTGTTTTTATATTCTCAAGCACATTTGTGGTAACATGTTTGTCTGAGTTCATCCTCTCTGTCGTTTCTGGGTCTGTTTCTGATTACTGGTCTTCTCGTTATGAACCGTATGCTCCAGTTCCTTTGCACGGCTGATAACTTTTTGTCGGGTGCAGGCATCGTGATTGCATCTTGTGTTCTGGACTTTGTGGAATTTCTTTCAATAGCACTTCCCTTTGTTCTAGAGCACAGTTACGTTGTTTAGGATAACTTGGATCCTTTCGAGATTTTTCTTTTCGAGACTCCTTGCCGTTAAGTTTGGCTAAGGAGGGTCCAGAGCAGCCTTTATTGTGGGGCTAGTTTGGCCCCAGTGCCAAGGCGCTACACCTGTGAGGGCTCGCCCACTGCCCTGTACGTGACAAGGTCTCCGCACTCTTGCTGGTGGAGACACAGACTGTTCCCAGCTCGGCTTGAGCTCCAGGTACTGTGCAGCCTAGTGTTTTCTGGTAATTCCTGTCACACACGTACAACTAACACTCAGCCAAAGGCTTGTGGAAACTTTATGCCGATTTCCAGAGCTGGAGAGCTTGTTTCCTCCCTCCCGTCAAAGTTCCCTCCCTCCCTCTCGTCTTCACTCTCTCCTCTCCTTCTCCTTTCCTCTCTCTCATCTCCCTGCCCTCTCCCCTTTCTCTGCAGTCCCCGCTTCCAGCACTGTGCCTGACATGTTCTGCTGTCTTGGCCTCCCTGAGCTCTAGTTTCTGTCTCCTTAACTCCGTGAGACCAGCGTCAGGCAGTAAGCTGGGGCAACTGTAGGGCTCATTCCATTTGTCCCTCTCTCAGCAATGACAGTGCTGCGCTGCCTGTTAACCAATGTCTGGAAACCATTGTTTTGCATATTTTGTCCATTTTTCTAGTCATTTAAGGTGAGAAAGTAAATATGGTTCTTTTTACTCCAACATAATTTTTTTTTTTTTTAGAATTCTTTTTGGTGAGGAAGATTGGCCCTGAGCTAAATCTGTTGCCAATCTTCCTTTATTTTTTTCTTCCCAAAGCCCCAGTACCTAGTTGTTATCCTAGTTGTAGGTCATTCTAGTTCTTCTATGTGGGATGCTGTCACAGCATGGCTTGACGAGTGGTTTGTAGGTCTATGTCTGGGATCCAAACTGGCAAACCCTGGGCCACCAAAGCAGAGCATGCAAACCTAAGCACTTGGCCATGGGGCCGGCCCCCCAACATAAACTTTTAGCGTACGTAATCTGTTGGTAGAGACGAACATCTTTATAAACATATATGTTTATTGAGGACAGATGCTCAATATTTTTCCTAACGAGGTGGCAGTCAACAAGTTTAGAGAATGTCTAAGGTAAAGGTGTACAGGTCCTTAGTACCTGTACAGAGTCTTTGCCGTTTGGGCCCTTCTTTTAAACTTTCACTGGAAATGAGTGTGTTGAATGTCCTCCTCCAGCCCCTGCCGTCTCCCCTTCCTCACGTCCCAAGTGTTGCGTCCTGCATTTTTCACTGAGCCAGTGCTTACTACATATGATAGCATCTTTCTGTGGGTCACATCATAGTCGTCGTGGGACACCTTTGTGGAATAACCATCATGTGTTGCTTAATGACAGGATGCTTTCTGAGAAATGCCTCGTTAGGTGATTTTACCATTGTGTGAACATCACAGAGTGTCCTTACACAAACCTAGATGGTGCAGCCCACTACACACCTAGGCTATGTGGTACTAATCTTATGGGACCACTGTCATTTTTGTGGTCCATCATTGACTGAAACATCTTCATGTGGCACATGACTGTTCTGAAGTTTTATTACTGTATTTTAAAGTTAATCTGTTGAAATAATTATCTTGTTTTGTTATATTCTACTTATGGAATATCGTACACAAGGAGGAATACTTTTTGATGTGTTTCTAACTTAAAGAGAATTGGTGTGGTTTTTTATACTGGTGGAGTTCATCGGAACTAGATCTTATTTGGCTGTTTAATTATCATAAAGTTTCCATGAGTAAATTCAAATTCATATGATAAACATAGCTTATAAGTTCAAGTAATCAAACACAGTTTTCTACAAGAAACATTCAAACAGACGTAGTTTACTGTAACAAACATTCAAAGCCTTAAATCACAAGTCAGCAGTCTCTGGAAGAGAACTACGAAACCTTAGAATGTGCCATAAAGTTCCTTGCCCTTTCTTGTAAATAACAATTCCAGCAAATATTTATATAGCCTTGACTTTGTTCTAAATGCTCTTACGTATATTAATTCCCTAGAAACTTGATTTTATGACGACAAGCGAGGGGAAAAGTTTAAATTTTCTAGTTACTGGTATGTAAATATTTGCTGTTTGTTTTTTCTTAATCTGTGTCAACAGAGGGTAACAGCTAACCCAGTGCTTTGTGTTCTCAAAGCCACTTGAGTCAACAACTTTATTACCCAGATGTCTTCCAAGGTTTCTCATTAATCGCAGCGAAATTTGAGGTCTCTGCTTTCGACTTGAATTGTATTCTGAGGTTTGAGTTAAAGAATTTGTGGTTTATAATTTTTAATTCTTATAGCTTATGCTTCAAGTGCTCTGTTTGAGTTTGAACCTTTATCCCATAATAGCTATAGGACTTTGGCCACGTTACTTAACTGCCTTGCTTCAGTTTCCTCATCTGAAAAATAAGGATATGACTAGTACCTGCCTCAGAGGACTGTCATGAGGATTAAATGAGATATCACCTGTAAGCGCTTAGAAAAGGGACCGCAGCTTGATAACTGCCCAGTAAATTTAGCAATGGTAGAAGTGGTACTTAATGGCTACGTAATGAATGATACAGTTGGTGGTTTGCCGTGCATTATTTACCCAAGCTCCTCCTCCTGGACATTTTGTTTATTCCTAATTCTCCACTATCATAAATAAAGCTGCAATTGATATGTATGTGCACATAGTTTTTTCCTTCCTTTGGATGATTTCCTTAGGAGAGTATCCCAGAAATGGGATGACTATCTCAAACACAACTGTTTGGAGAGAGTGAAAACCATGTCAGGTCGTCCTCCTCAGCTCCTTCTTTCCCTGCCACCACAGTGTCTCCTCCTCTCTTCTCTTACCCCTCCCTGGGGTATGGCAATGCCGAGGGAGGAGGAGGTAGGGTCGGGGCATTCTCAGGTGGGCACCCCTTATAGTGCATCTGCCTCCCTCCCACACCACCCAGCACTATCTAGGTGGTACGTGAATAAAATGTGGTCTCGCTCCTAGGGCCATTTGCATTTTAACAGTGGCTGAGACCCTAAGCCAAAGGAAAAGTGAGCTAATGGTGGCATACGAAACAATAAAGAGCAAGTTGGGATGGCATAAATCATTTAGTCTAGGGAGAGGAGAAGGATGAAGTGATCATCAGCTCATGAATCCGACCATTTCTGGCGTGGACCCATGCACAGGTCCAAGGCAGCACTCGCCAGTCTTTCCCCATCATGGCGCACATGGAAAGTGATAAAATTTGTGTGCCTCATCTGGGAAAACAGAGGACGCTGCCTGAGCACAGAGGTGCCCACCTGGGAGTCCCAATTGAGATTTGAAGGGATCAACATCTCAGCAAGCCTGTCCCATGGCAGGCACAGAACTGTGGATGCTGGGGCCTAATGGGTCTCAGAGACGCCAGTCTCTGCCCTGCCCCTTCAGTCATCTGTTTCCCCTCCCTGAAACACTGTCTCCATCCAGTCCTGCCCTGCTCCAATACCCTCTCCCTCTACCTGCCCCCATTCAAGGGTCCTCTGCTGGGCATTCAAGACCCTTCACAGCCTGGCCTCACCATGTGTGCAGTCCCATCTGCTGTTGCTCCCATTCAAGGGTCCTCTGCTCCAGCTGGGCCGTCACATCATGCCGCACAAACGCTGTTCGTTCCAGCCTCTCGCCTTGGCTCATGCTATTCCCCCTTCTTAGGATGCCTTCCTTTCACCTCCCTTTGAATCTTGTCCCTCTTCCAAGACCACTCCCTGATGTCAGCAGCATTTGCCATCTGATCCACTCACTCAACACTTGACCTTTTGGTCTCAGTTACCTTTTCATGTGTGCATGGCTTGTGTCCCCAACCAGACTGAGTAGACACTGCGAGGCATGGCAGGGCATGGGCTTTGGAGCCCAAGGACTGCCATGCTGCCCTGGGATTCATTTCCCCTTCTAGAAATATAACTCCTGGGGTGACTGTGAGGCTCACATTAGGCAACGGATATAAAATAACACGTGTATGCCGTGCATGGAGAAGACCCAGCCCAGGCAGGGGGCTGTCTTTCCTCTCTACGGCCCTGGTCAGAGGGAGGTCCTGGGTGGACACGGTTTACTAAGGATGTGAGTTCCAAGCACTCTTGGTCTCCCTGCAAGCCCCAGGACGAGGTGGCTGGTGTCCTGCCCACTCCCCATCATAGGTGCTGGCCCCTCAGTACTGCCCTCTCCTCTCACCACGTAGACCGCTTCTTGGAGCTGCATATGTACATGACCTCTGCGCTGGGCAAGAATGACATGAAGGCCATTGGCCTGCAGATGGCCCTCGACCTCCTGGCCAAAAAGGAGAAGAAGGATTCCATCACAGGCCTCCAGACACGCACCCAGCCTGGGCGGCCTGACTGGAGCAAGGTAAAGGCCAGCGGGAGCCCCTAGCCTGCAGGGACCCGTGGGGCTGAGAGCCTGAGGCAGCGGCTCGGGAGATTAGGGCCAAGCAGCTCGGGGCAAAGCATGAGGCCAGCATCCAGAGTCCAGCCAGGATCTCAGGGCTGGAAAGGGAGGCGGGGTGCCTACCTCCCGGCTCCATCACTAGCTCACTTTGTTCCATCATTAGCTTCCGTTTCCCCATCTATCAGAGAGGAAGTTAGCCTATATGACCTCCCAGGCCTCTCCCAGCCCTGACTCCCAGTGAGCCAGAGTCAGAAGGCCCGAGTGGAGAGGGGGAAACATCCAATCTTATCCCTTCTTGATACAAATGGGGAAACTGAGTCCCAGAGACACAAAATAGTTCCAGCCTTTCTATTTTATTATTATGTTATCGTCCCTGAGCCCTTCCATTCGGGGTGTAGTGTGTGCACGAAGTGACCACAAGGTGCCGCTTTCTGAACCGCTGTAGAGAATCCAGGCCTGGAGAGCAGCGGGGGAGCGCGATGCCAGCCGTGCTTGGGCACCAAGGGGGACTCTCCGCAAAGGCAATTCTCAAGCAGACTTTGGGATGGAAAAGGGTCCTCACTGGGGGGAAATAGCCTGACTTCAGGAAAGAGACATTTCAATGGAGGCACGTGGCCAGCCAGAGGTTTGGGCAGTGGGGTTCAGCATTCCGGTTGGGCTGTCATTGCCTCCTCGTGTGCGTCTGCCCCACAGACGCAGCTCCTTGAGCAGAGGTCCTGGGTCGTATTTCTTTCTGGCCCAGTCCCTCCCCGGGGTCTGGGTCAGCTTATAGGTTGAGCAAATGGCTGCTAAATGAATGGCTGCATGTTGGCCTCTCTGTTCTGAAGCCAAGCACTTGTCTTGGAGTTCCTCATGGGGATGGACAGCCATTGCCGCCGACCCGTTGTGTTGTCAGCTCAGGGGTTGGGGGTGTCACTGGGTGGGTCAGCAGCCCACCTCTCCTCCCTCTGCTCTCTCCCAATCCCATGACTCCAGGTGTTCCAGAAAGTGGCTGCCGAGAAGAAGGGCAGGGTGCAGGTCTTCTTCTGTGGCTCCCCGGCTCTGGCCAAGGTGCTCAAGGGCCACTGTGAGCAGTTCAGCTTCAGATTCTTCCAAGAGAACTTCTAGCCGCACCCCGCCAAGCTCTGCCCAAGCCCACATTGCGGGCCAGCTCAGTCGCATTGCTTCCAGTGCCCCACAGGGACCAGCCTCAGAAGACCAGCTGATCCTGCTCCACGCGGAACAGGAGGCCCCGGGGGCAGATGGACTTTCTCCAGAAGCTAAGGAAGAGAGCCGTGCCTTGCGCAGCGCTCCTTTGCGTTCTGGGATTGCTGTGGAACTGATCAGGCTGGTGCCGGTCGTTTCCAGGGCAACCGCTCCTCCAAAAGTCCTCGGAGGGAACCTTCCCCCTACAACGGCGGTCACAGACCTGCAGATTCATTCCAGTCATTTGGGAACTGCCCCCACCAACATTTTATTATGAAAATTTTCAAACATACAGAGAGTTAAAAGGATTGTACAGTGAACAGTGTTACCCACTTTCTAGATTCCTCAGTTAACATTTTGCTATATTTGCTTTATTGAGTATTATCCATCTATCCCTTCCTCCATCCATTCATCAATGTGTCTTATTTTTCTGATGCATTTCAAAGCACACTTTGCCACTCAGAGGAGCTTTCTTGAAATGCAGATTCCTGGGTCCTGCTCCCAGAAATTCTGATGCTGAAGATCTGGGGATGAGATCTGGAATGTGTATTTTATCCAAAACCCATTCCCATAGGGAGAGAGAAGCAGCATATTTTCCCACTTCTCTCTATGGCATTGTCTTCCTATCTATTTGTCTGTGTCCCTTTCCTTTCTCTCTCTCTCTACGTCTCTCTCTCTGTACCTCTCCCCTGTATGTGTCCCTCAGTGTCCTTCCATTGCTCTGCATGTCGGTTTCTCCGTTCTCTCCGTGTGCTGAGTCATTGGAGAAATAGGACGGAGGCAGCGTTGGTGTGTGTATTTCTCTGTAGGGGTCACAGAAAGGCCACGTTCCTGGAAATCAAGCAGGTTGCTACATGAAGCTCAGCTCAGCCACACCCCAGCGGGGTGGCCCTGGCACCCTCTCCGAGTCTGTTTCTTCATCTGAAAAATGGAACTGATGACATCCCCTGGTCACGGTTCTTACAAGAGTGAAATGAGACACGAGTAAAATGAGCTTCAGATTCTTCCAAGAGAACTTCTAGCCCCGCCCATCTAAGCTTGGCCCAAACCCACACTCAGGCCAGGACGCTCATCTTCCATCCCTGTGCAGCTCTTTATGGCTCCAGACGTTTGTGTCTCTACATCTTCTCTCTGCGTTGCAGCTCCCTCTATCTCTGTGTCCCAGCCTCTGTTTGCATCTGTCACTGTCTGGGCAGGAGTGGATGGTAGAGCCAGCAAGTACAAAAGCTGGAGAGCTCCTTGAAGGAGGAGACCCTTTGGGGAGGAGAGATGCTGGGGTGAGGGTAGGGCTGGGAGGGCTGGCCTCACCCCCTCAGATCTGAGCTAGGCATTTTCCATCTGCCCGTCACCATGAGCCCATGACCCCCACAGTTCCTGGGCATCCTCCGCCTTGCAGCCAGTCTTGCTAGGTTCTTTCTCTTCTGTAACAGTCTAAACACTCCTCCCCAAAGCTGCCTTCAGGGGGTTGGAATCAGGCACTTCCCAGTGGGACCGTAGTTTGTACCTTTCTTTTCCATGGGTTGGAAGTCCGTGGGGGAGAACAGGCAAGGAAGCTGGGTGAGAGCTGTGATGATGACACCACTTATAAAGAGCTGGGTAGCTAAGGGGGGAGCTGGGATGCAGCAGATGAGGAGGTATGTGCAGAGGATGAGCAGAGAGGACCGAGGGGAGAGTCCTGCAGGTGACAATGGAGCAAAGTTGGGTTGAAAAGTTCTCTTCAAAAAGAAGCAGTGAGAAAACAGAGTGGTGGATGGAGTTGAGGTGCACCTTGGGGAAGAGGGCAAAACACATCCTGGGGACTGGGACGGACAAACGATGGGACACAGGACATCTTATTCAAGATGTGGGAAGAGCAGGAGGAGAATACAAGAGGAAGAGGGGGACCCAGCTGTCAGCCCTGCTACGAAAGAGGTGACCACATTCCGTGGGGTGGGTAGAAAGGAGGAGCTAGGCATCCCCAAGCCTCTGCTGGCACTGGGAGCCCGCGTGTCCGGGAGGTCTTGTGTTGGGGGGCCTTCCACTCGTCATCGTGGTTAATTTCCAACAAGCCTGGGGCAGGCGCACAGCTCACATGGAGAAACTCAGACGTAGAGACGTTGAGTTCCCAGCCTGAGGGTCATACGGTGTTGGAACCCATTTCCTGCTGTTGAGTCTGCGTTTTCCCCTCTTCGTGAGACTTGGGAAAGCCTAGAATAAAGCCTGTTACTACCTGGAGTGCAGCAGTAAGCTAAGTGGGTATCCCAACAGGGCTGGCAGAGCAGAATCTGGTTAGCAAAGGACTTCACACACACACGCACACACACGTGCGCACACACACACGCATGCACACAGAGTTTACATTCTGTCCGGTCTCTGTCCACACTGCCCTAAAATACTGGAGCCCTGGTCCACAGTCCTCTGCTCTCTCATAACGCATTTCCACCAGTCTCCCACTCCCATATGCAAATAGCCCACTGTTCATTTAGAGTTTTATATTACATGGGGGAGGAGAGGTGGAAGAACTTCAGCACAGATTCTAAGATCCATCAAGGGCCCACATGTTTGACTTGGGACCACGTGGGTCCTCAGGCTTTCTCTCCAGACGTATTCCAGTTGTTGCCCACTGGGGGGCGCTGAAGAATCAGGGATCTCGGTGGGTTTGTCTGCTGGGACAGAGCCTGGTTCCCGAGCCGCAGGGAGTCAGTCCTGCCAGAGAGGACCATGCCCCACGCCGAAGCTCCAGGTCCAAGGCAACACCTCCAGGCCCAGTCTGGGGCAGGACTGTGAAGTTGAAGGAGTTCGTTTTCAAGATCAGAGTTTCTCTAGCTGCCTGCACCTCGCCCTAACACACAAATGCACTCACAACCCCGATACCCCCTTAGACACACACACATACACACACACGCACGTACACACATCCCTTCCTTCCCCGTACCCAGTGGCCGGCTTCTGGGCTTCCCTCTTGTGCATCTGCAAGGTCAGAACAGGCCAGGCTCTGGGAGAGTTTGTGGGTCCAGGCTTGGCCACCTCATATCATCATAGGTGGTGGGATCAAAGATATGGGTGTACAGATCACTCAGTGTGTTCATCTGGATGTTTTCCAGATGTGCAGGTGGGGTCATCCTGCCGTCAACAAGAAACAAATGCCTCCGTATGGCTGGCTGACTTTTCTTTCACCCAGATGTTGGCAATGCTGTAGACACATCTGGGCTCAAGATGGCTGAGACCGCCACACACAAAGAGAACAGAGAGGGGCACAGGCAAATGCAGAAAAAGGGTGATTACATGGGTGTGTGCCGTCCTCCTCCATCAGGCTGTGAGCTCCCCAAGGTCAGGCCTGTGGCCCCAGAATCTGGAACAGAGGGAGGGGCAATGGGCCTAATCTGGGTGTGAGTTCCCACCTGGCCAAGGAGTTACTTCAATGGAAGTATCCTGGGAGGGGTGCTCTGTGGATAATCGTCATGGCATCTGGGGAACAAAAGCACACACGCACGCCCACTGAATGAATCGGTTTGCCCAGCTCCACCGCTGCTCTGCTGTGGCGACAGCTCTGACTGGGACAGCAGACATTAGAGAAGAAATGACGAGGCAGCCCCCTCCCCCGTGAGCGGCACAAGTGCAGTCTGTCAATACACTGAGAGCCAATGGGCGATCCTGGGACGGGAGGGTGACACGGACAATATTGAGAAGTGTCACCCCCTTGCAGGTCGAGGTTAGGGAGGGATTAGAGACACCAGCCACCTAGACTGGCTCCGGACAATCACCTTGAAGATGTGCAGCGGAAAGCCCTTTGCCCTCTGCATGAGCCTCGGCCCCAGTCAGCTGTGTGACCTTAGATATGCCATGTGACCTCTCTGAGCGCTCACCTCCTCAGCTATAAAATGAACAGATGAAGGAGGCATGTGTTTAAACACGAGTTTATGCATAATCACTTCTTAAAAGATACACAAAAATAAACTTATTTGATCTGTTTGCCCTGGAGACTGGCAATGGAGGGCCAGGAAGGAAAGGATTTTGGATTTTGGGTGTTTTTTTACTTTTAATTTTCTATCTCTCTATAAAGTTTGAACTTTGTTTGATAAGAGTTTATTAGTTATATATTAAAAAGAAACCCAAAGTAGAATGTTAAGCAAAAAAACCAAACAAATCAAGTTTTGATCTGATCCTATTCACGTAACAAAAATTGAACAGTGTTTGCATATTGTGCATGGGATCAATAGATAGAAATGCGCTGGAAGAGGGTCAGAAAGAGACACACCAGTTTCCAGTGGTCACCATGGAGGAGGTAAGGGAGGACTTCAGCACTTTTCTCTTTTCCGTTTCATGTATTTATGAATTATCCATGTAATGTTTCACAGTATGTAATTTTTACACCATGTACATCATGTATTATACACGTGATGTTTTACTTTTTTATCTATATACTTATGTTATGGCCTATGTAATTTCTTTAAAAGAATTTAAAAAATGGAGAGATTGTCTGAAGTGTCGTCTAAGATCCCTCATATTGATTAGTTCTCAAATGAAAGTGTTTCAGACATTGCTAGGAGCACGGGACCGGCCCCTCCCGCTGGGGGCGCTCCCCTGCCTCATCTGAACAGTGAGGCTGCTACAGTGCCAATGTGCAATATGCAAAGTTGCCCTAAATGGGCTAAGTACTAAAATAAAAGGCCCCTTCCAGGCCCAAAGCGGGTCCAGAAAGACTGCAGAGGCCATGGGCATCCAGGGGGAATTGTGCGCACGGGGCTGCACCCAGCACCAGCCCAGCCTCACTGTCCAGACACCTCAGGGCACAGTGTCTCTGCTAAACAAATACTCCTGTCAGCCAGCCTTCCTGACAGATTGATGCATCTTTTTATGATCTGTCTTTACAATATGATGACTCTCTCCTTTTAAAAAAAAGATTAATTCAGACAAGACATTTATTTTATAGGGAAATCCATCCCAGGGGAAAAAATACTCAAGCTGAACGGCAGAGATGGCTGGAAGGAGACTTGACTCTCAAGGAAGCTTCCAGCCGCCCAACCTTAGCCATGCAGCAATGGCCCCAAAGAAGCCACCCTGATCCTACCCACGGACAACTGGGGCCATCTTGAATCATGCCAGCGTGGCAGGGGTGAAGAGGGTGCATTTTTTGGCAAAAGAAAAAAGTTCTGAGGTTCGCCTAAATTTGGCTGGCTATGAGTTTACATACACAGATTGAGCTTTCTTTAAATAACCCTGAAGAACATTCAAGGGAAATGAATTATTGGCTCTGCGTCTCTGTGACTGGAATAGTGCTACCACCTAGTAGGTGCTTGGCAGTGTTTCATGACTCTTTCCACCGCTGTGATCCCTCTTTTGGCTGGTGGCACCAGGAGGTACCCTTGACTCCTCTGTCTCCCCCATCCTCCTCCCTCAGCCAATCGCCAAGCCATGTCAACAGGACATTCCACATATTTCTCAAACGCATTCCCTTCCCCGTTGGCCCTTCCTTGGTTCAGTCCTTAAATTGCCTTTTACCTGGACTATTGCAGTAGCCTCTGGACTGGTCTTCCTTCCTCCAGCCTCTCCCAGCTCCAGCCCATCCTCCGCATTGTTGTGGATCTGATCACACACCTTCCTGCTGGACAGCTCTCCTATTGCTGTTGCCAAACTCCTGAGACTGTCGCACAGACCTCCCCATCATAAGCACTAGATTCAGATCTATGATCAGTATTATTACTGGCCCTTCCTTGCCTCCCGTGTCTCACTCTTCATGCTCTAAGAACGCCATATAGCTTAGAGTTGCCCTCGAAACCTCATGCAGTTTCACACCTTCAAGCCTTTGCCTCTGCAACGGCTGACATTCGGAGCACCCTTCCCCACCTTTGGATGGAGGTTTCAGAACATTTTATCATCAGCCCATCTGTGAAGACTTGCTTGCTGGTCCCTGTCGTCACAGAATAAACAGCCTCCGTCTGTCCGTCTGACTGCATCAGCCCTGCTTCTGCTACAGCATCCACCACAGGTGTTGTATTTACCTATTTACGTGTTCGTGACCTCCTTGAGGCCAGGAACAGTGTCTACTGTCTTTGCCTCCCCAGCGCCTGGCCCATCTCTACTGGATGATCAGTGAGACTGCTGGTGAGCTGATGTGGCTCACTGGAACCCCCTGCCCCGTTCCTTTCCCTCCCTTCTCTGCTGCTCCCCTTCAAGGGTGAGAAAACCCCAAATCCTGCAGGCAGACTGGACCAGCCTCCCATGTGGATGGAGTGGGCAGCTGCTTCAAGGGACCTCAGGGGCCCTAGAGAGCTTCCCGTCTCCCCCCACCTCCCACACTTGCTTTTCCTCTAGGAGCAGAGGTCAGGGGTAATATAGAAATCCTAGCGGCAGAGGTGCACTCGGTCTCCAGCTCCCTCTGTAAAATGAAGAGGTGGGGCTCATGGTCCCTTGTGCCTTTGACACCTCCTCCTCCTCTTTCTCATTCTTCTTCCTCTAACTCAAAAGAGATGAATGACTTAGAAAGAGCAAATGAATCAGAAATAGGGAAAGCAAAAAAAGAGAGTAATTTTGCCAAGTTATTATTCAACGGAGCTCTCTGGGACCCAGAGCGAGAGCAGCCCCATCAATCACCCCGCAAAGCTCGGGGGCAGGGGAGAAAGAGGCTGGGCGCTGTCTGTGGATGGCTCTGTGTGTGAGCAGCCAGGCCAGGAGCCTGAGGCCCTTTGCCAGCCACCACGGAGGGAGGGAGGCCAGATGGACACCAAAAGGGGACGGTCAGTCTAAAATCTCACTGACCTGCTTTTCTGCACAGGCCAGAGCGCTGGAGGCCGTACCCCGGGCAGGACCAGCTCTGGGGAAAGCACCCCTCTGAGCAGAGACGAGAGGGATGTGGGCGCAGGCACTCCGGCCTGGAGCTTGCTCTCCTGGGCTGCTCTCCCCAAGCCTTTACTACCCTGAGGAGGCAGCCACTGCCTCATCCCACGGGAAGGGGCTGAGGTCGCTCATCCCTGCATCCCAGGCTTAGCCCAGTGGATGCTCCCTGAATGAGTGAATGAATGAATGGGTGGATGACAAAACTATTATAGCACATTGTCTGCTTCTCTTTATGTTGTTTATTACTTTACCATAATTTTTATGCATAGATTATCCCAGCTTATTAAATTGTAATGGTAATCTACTTGGGGGCGGGAACTAAATCTGATTTCTCTGTGCACAAGTTCTCGATTACAGGAGGCCCTCAAAAAATAAGTATGGAAGAAAAGAGGGCGGGAGGGAGGCACAGAGCCCCGTGCATGGCATCAGAGCCTCAGTCCGTCTCCCAGGGCCTCCTATGCCGTCGTCTGGGAGCTCTTTGCCCCCCAGGCTCCACATTAGAGCATATTGTGGGGCTGTCAAGTAGAATTCCGAACAGGCGGGTTTGTTGAGTTCCTACCATTCTGATGCTGGAGTTGCACAGTGGACGGAAGAGTCAAGGTCTCTGCTCTCAGTTCCCTCATCTGTAAAATGGGGTCAATAATAATAACGGTACCTATTAGAAAGAGTAAGGATAAGAA